GAGTACCACCCTCCACCAGGGACCACACAGCCTGCATCCCTGCTCACCATGAGGTTGGCATTGGCGATGTGGTGCTTGACCATGCCTCCACCCAGGATGATCATCCCCGTGCGCTTGGCGAAGATGGCCTGTGTGTTGATGAGCCTGAGGTCTGGGAGAGAGGGCTGAGTCAGACCACCACAGGCCCAAGCAGCCCTCCTCCCTTGCTCCTCTGGGGCCTCAACATCTTACCCTCAACAATGTCCAGGACCAGACCTGGGTTCTTATAGGAGTGGAAGAAGATCATGTCACCCAGCGAGCCATCTGTGAGTGCCGGGCTCAACACAGGAATGTGGTTCTAGGAAGGAGCAAGATAGGAGGGTGGCTGGATCTAAGCCCTGTAGGGGCAGCCTGCAGGCATTTCCTCCTCTGCCTGATTCTAGGCAGGATGCTTAACTTCACTTGGCCCTGGCACATGAAGAATGGTAGTTTGTGTTTTTCTGATTGCTGGACCCCAGAGCCTCTGAGGAGCACGGGGCCCTCCAACAGGCCCCATGGGAGCTGCTAAGTATTGCCCAATTACTTCCCAGCAGTCGAGGAGTAGAGCCAGAATACCAGATCCACAGTCAATAGCTATGGGACTGCTCTGTTTCTGAGGCTCCTTATGTAGAAGCAGGAATGAGGAGACTAGTACCAACTATCCAGGTGGCTGTGAAAAGCAGCACATGCCAAAGCCTGGCATCTTTGCCCCCGCCAGTCCCTCACCTTCTGGGCCCAGTAATACACAGACTCTGGGTTGTTTATCTCCTTGCCAAGCCGGGCGATCATCTTGGAAGGTGTCCACTTCACACCCTAGGAGGAGGGAGACACTGGCTTCAGGCAGTGGCGCCTCCCCTGATACCCACCATGCCATCAGCAAACCCATCCCCCTGCCCTGCCCCCGGCCCCAGGTTGCTCCAGTCTCACCTCTGTGTTCTGCTCCAGCACCATCTGGTCCAGAATGGGCATCAACCAGTCCTCAAACTTGCAGTAGTTGTCATTGGGCACCAGCAGGTTTCCAATCCTGGGGACAGAAGGTGTATGGACATCAGGGCCCAGGACCCTCAGTCTGCCTCCCTTACCCAGCACCACTCAGCCCCCACCCACCCACCTGTTGATCCCATTCTCACGAAGCTCCTTCCCCCTGAGGCTGAACTCGCCCAGGTATGTGGGAGCCAAGCACTTGATGAAATCCTCCTCCACACCGCCAGCTGTGGTCACCAAGACGTCCACCTGCAGCCACAAGGCAGTGAGGTTATCCCAAGTAGAACCAACCCCCAACCCTCATCCAGTGACCCCTGTGGGGAGCTCTGCTGCAAAACAAAACTGACCCACATCTCCCTATCTCACTTAAATGGCCAGTAATCTTATTGACCCAGAGAGCCCAAGGCCACACCCCCACCAGGTCCCACCATGTTGTGCTGCACGAGGTAACGGATAGTCTCACGGATGCCTGAACTGATGAGGTTGGATGTGTAGCCCAGGAAAATGGTGCAGCCGGTGAGTGGGCGTCGGCTCTGGGTCAGGTCTGCATGTTGGTCTTCATCCTCAGATAGCGGCTCGAGTTTCTTCTCTATCTAGGTAAGGGCAGGGTCGAATTAACCTCTGGCCCCAAATTCCACCCCAAGGACCCCCTGTGGGTTTCGGTGTCAGACTCCCCGCCCAGGCTCTGCCCACTCAGGGACAGGGAACCACTTCTACCTGGAACAGGGGAAGGAACACCTCTGTGTAGGCTGCGCCCTGTTCACAGCCCAAGTCTCAGGTCACATGCTTAGGCTTTGCCCCTTTTCAGGAATCCGAGAGCATCACTTTTTCAGGCCCGACTCCTCTCCCCACCGGAAAAAGCAAACCCAAGCTCAGGTCCGGCCAGGTCTAACGGTCCTCCTCCAATTCCTCCCTCAAATGCACTCTCTAGCCCAGGCTCCGTCCCTTCCATAATACTTTCACCCGTTGCCTATAACGCCCGCTCCCCGCCCCAGAAACAGTCCACTCTCCAGCACAGAAACTCCCGGGCTCCATACTCTCTCCCACTATTGGACGAAATACACACCTCCCTGAGAAGTCCCGCCCCCAGCTACCGCAGAGTGCTACTGGAGGCCACGCCCCCTCAACCCAGGCAGTCTCACTCAGGCCTCACCATGGCGTTGACTTGCTGTACCGCGCGCCCGAAGTTGGTGGCTTGGAAACCAGTGGTGCTGAACGCCTCTAGCAGCGCACGATAGTCAACGCCGCGGTTGAAGTCGTAGCCCCGGACCTGCGCGCTCTCGAAAGGCAGTGCCGAACTGTGCTTCAGCACAGCGGCCAGCGCCGCCGCAGGCACCTCCCTCTCCCGGGAACCCTCCATGTTCCTGCAGCTGCACTCTCAAATCAGAGCCGCCCCAAGCCAGCCTCCTGGCGGCCTCGAACTGCGCTAGGCCCCGGCACGTACTTCTGTAGGAGACTCAAGTCCTGGGGAAAACCTGGGGAGGGCCGGAAGTTGTATAATCACATGACCCGCCGCGCCCGGAATCCAGGGCTCGGCCATCTTGTCTTGTACAGTCCGTAATACGGAAGCCGCGAGGAGCCATTATTTATATCCCATGTGTTCCCAGCCGTCGAATGATTTTCACTTTTACTGCCGCCTGCTGGAAATCCGCCGCGTTGCGTGGAGCTTGCCAGTTGGTGTCTACCCTCTCAAAGAGAATTGTTTCTTGGACGTTGCTGTTAGAATTCGAATCACCAGGAGGTATCAGACAGTTTCTGCCTCGGAGAGTCTCTCGTCAAATAGAAAAATCGCTGTTCGTGTCTTGCAAGTCTCCGGAGCCTCCATATGCGGCATAACCCCTGGTCTTCTGTCTCTGGCAGCTGAGCTGCCACATCCCTCTGAGAAGTCTTCCTTGACCTTCCTCTGGGTAAGGGATCCAGGGCTGACATCTCTTTCCCTCTAGCGAGCCTTTGAGATGCTGGAGGGTGGGGTCTATAATCTCATGGGTCCTCCTAACCATGCATAGGGTTTAGTCCAGTGAGACCCCTGTAATCACTCACTCTACAATTTATGGAGTCTGCACTATACACTGTGTGCTTCCCTGGAGGCTCAGTGGTAAAGAATTCATCTGCCAGTGCAGGAGACACGGGTTTGACACCTGGGTCGGAAAGATGCCACATGCCTCCGAGCAACTAAGCCCATGTGCCACAACTATTGAGCCTGTGCTCTAAAGCCTGGGAGCCGCAACTACTGAAACCCACGTGGCCTAGAGCCCATGCTCGGCAAGAAGAGAAGCCTGCACACCACAATGAAGAGTACCCAGAGGCCTGGTAGCAATGATGTAGAAATATTCCAGCACAGCCAAAAATAATTTTTTTTAGAAAAGCCCTCTTACTGTGGCTTCCCAGTAAGAGTAATAGTTGGACTCTTCCCTGTGGCCTAAGAAAGCACTGACTTGCCTGCCCTCATCCCCTACCACTTGTCCCCACTCACTTTTCTCCAGCTCCACTGACCTGACTGATCTAGAGCCCACCAGGCTCTTTCCTGACCAAGGGGCAGTGTACTTGCTGCTCTCACTGCCTGGAACGCCTGTTTCCCCAGCTCGTCCTCCTCTGGGCCTCAATCCAAATGTCACCTCCTCCAAGAGGCCTGCCCTGATTGATCTTACCTTGGCCCTTGTTATTTTTCACAGTACACGATATAGTCTGTTTGCTGTTGTTCATCCCTCCCTGACTAGAACAGAAGCTCTGTGAAAGCAGGATCTTGTTAGGTTTCACTGCTGTTCTCTTCACTCTCTGCAGTGCCGGGCACACATTGGGATCTTAGCAAAAATGGATGCAACACACACAAAGACGTCAGGGTGATCCGTGAAGAAAGAAGGAGGGGTTGAAAAGGATTCAGAGAGGACAGAAGGTTCCAGACCAGGCAGGGCCCTGTGGGCTGTCGTAAGGAGGGTGGGTTTTATTCTCAGGGGCTGGGAAACCATAGGGGAGTTTTTAAAATGAAAGACTCTGATTTATTTTTTTCCAATTTCTAAAACTGTGGTAGAATACATAACATGAAATTGACATTGTAACTTTATTCTTTTTAAGAGAGAAAGCTCTGTAGTCTGTATCTTCTTTAAAAGATACTTTTTTGACTGCACTGGGTCTTACTTGCAGTATGTTGTATCTTTAGTCATGGCATGAGGGATCTAGTTCCCTGGGATTGAACCCAGGCCCCCTGCATTGGGAATGTGGAGTCTTAGCCACTGGACCACAGGAAAGTCCCCGACTGTAAACATGTTTAAGTCCACAGTTCAGAAGCATTAAGTACCTTTACATTGTTACACAACCGTCACCTCCATTCATCTCAAGAACTCTTTCATCTTCCCAAACTGAAACTTTGTACCTATTAAACACAACTCCCCATCCCTCTTTCTCCTCAGCAACTGGCATTCTGCTTTCTGGGATTTGACTACTTCACATAAGTGGAATCATGTATTAGCTGTCATTTTGTGACTGGCTTATCTCACTTAGCAGAATGTCCCCAAGTTTCATCCATGTTGTAATGTGATTTACTTATCAGATCCCACTGACTTACTGGAGGAGAATGGGGTCAGGGTGTGCAGGGCAGGGGAGACCAGACAACTGCACTGGCCCAGGCAAACTGAGATGGGGGGGCAGGACCCCAGTGCTACCAACAGCAGGGGGAGAAGTCACCAGTCTGACAACCTAATTTGAAAGTTCATCTGTAAACAGCACTGTTTATAGATGAGCTCTGTTCAATACCCTGTAATGACCTATACAGGAAGAGAATCTTTAAAAAAAAAAAGTGGATATCTGTGTATGTATAACTGACTCACTTCATTGTGCAGCAGAAACTGACCCAGCATTGTAAATCAACTATTCCGATAAAAAATTATTAATTAAAAACAAAGAAAGTTGGTCTGATGGCTCTTGATGAAAGATTAAATGTGGGAATCCTGGAAGAAAGGAATGAAGGAGTTAAAGATTGGAACCAGGGCAGTTGGGTGGGTGGTGGTGGTATAGCCACGCTCTCTAGGAAACAGACTCACTCAGAGGGACAATGCAAATAGTGGAGTGCAGTTTATTACACCAGCGGGCCCAAGGCAGAGTCTCCTCTTAGCCAAGGACCCCAACCAGCATTTGTGAAAATCTTTTATACCCCATGTGTACGTGTCCAAACCCACCACCCCAATCCCTTGAGACTTACATAAACAAAGGAAGGGTAAATACAACTACAATAATCCCATCATTCACGTGTTATGTGTTCAAACAGTCAATAATCAACAAGCCCGCAGTTACATTCCAAACAGTTAATAATCAATAAGCTTGTGGTCACGTTCCAACCAGTTAATAATCGATAAGCCTGTGATTACATCCCGATAGATACAGAAAAAGTTTATGACCTGTCCGGAGACAGGGGTGATTACAGTATGTTTCCTCTTAGGCAATGAGTAACCTGGATATGATCTTCAAGATTCCCCTGTCCGGAGGGGGTCTTATCCTTCCATTGTCGTTCCCACAGGCACTAAGCAGAGAGTTCAGAGTCCACTGGAGAGGTGGCCAAGCATGATCAGCACAGACAGGCCTCAGATGGAGTCCTGGCCCTAGGATTTCCTTCTTCAGTGGTGAACTTGGGGGATGGATATTTGGGGTTGGGGGGAGATGATCCAGGGTCCAGCTTTGGCCAAGTTAGGTGAGAGACAACTGAGAGGTGGGAGTGAGGGAGCGAGGAGAGAGGAGGGGCCTCGTGTGGGTCAGAGGTCAGGGAAGGGGCTGGGACGCAGGGGAAGCCATCAGTGTAAGTGAGTGAATTGAGTCATCTGTGGATAAGGACCCTGGGTCATGAGTATAGACACACACAGGAGAGGCAGGGCTGCACCTGAACCAGGGTTCACGCTGTGCCTCCTCGAATCAGAGAAGGAGCCAGTTAGCAGGGGATCAAGCAGATCTGTGAGAGCCCGGGGCCGCTCCACTCGCCCAGCAAAGCTGACACACGACAGCCACTGGGCCTCCTGGGCAGGGACCCCCTTGGCCTCGGCAGCTGCTCTTGCCGCTGGTGACATTTCACTCCATGAGCGTCCTGGCTTCAAAGTCTCTGCAGGCATTGTGGGGGTGGGGGGTGTTGGAGAGGCTGGGCTGGGGGAGGGCTCCAGAGTGGGGCCGCAGGAGGAGGACCGAGCAGCCAGGAGTCAGCCGGAGTCTTCAGCTGAAGTATATGGTCCCGACGGGTTGGGGAGCAGCCACCCCCAGCCCTCAGGCACCAGGGACATAGAAGGAGGTAGGAGCTTGGGGTTGGGGGTGCAGTCTGCTGCCTGTGGCTCTGCTTACCCTCCCTCAGATGTCCAGCAAGGTGACCGTTGGCAGTGACATTGGGCAAGCCCGCCGGGCCGTGGAGCAGCTGCGGATGGAGGCGGGCATTGACCGCGTGAAGGTGAGGACCAGGCTGAGGCGGGTGTGTCTGAGCAAGCGGGGCAGGTGGACGGCCCAGCCCAGGGTGGACTAACTGGGCTGGTCTGCAGGTATCCAAGGCAGCTGCCGACCTGCTGCAGTTCTGCACAGAGCAGGCCAAGAGCGACCCCTTTCTCGTGGGCATCCCAGCCGCCACCAACCCCTTCAAGGAGAAGAAGCCCTGTGCCATTCTGTGAACCCTGCAGCCCGGACCACCCAGGGGCCTCAATGAACATCAAGTGAGTGCTCCTCAGGGCATGGCTTGGCTGAGCTTCCGTGGTGGACTTCGGGTTTGTAGGGGCCAGGTGTGGGGTGTGCCTGGCCCAGCCTCCCTCCTCGCCCACGCCAGGGTCACGGCCACAGAGGCACACCCTGGACCCTGAATAGAGGAACATGCCCCTCCCTCACCTATCCCTTCCCTGACTGCCCCCTTCCCCACGGCCTATGGGGTAGCATTAGCAGGTGCCTGGTCCCACTGCACAAACACCCAGGGTTAGAGTCCTGATCTACGTATCAGCCCATGTCACACACATACACACCCACACAGTTCACACATGCAGGTACCATCATGCAGACAAGTGCCACTTCTCAAGTGTCTCCCTCTTCCTCACAGAAGCCACAGATAGGGCCACTGTAACCATGCATAGATCAGTGGTAAAGAACCCGCCTGCCAATGCAGGAGATGCGGTCTCAATCCCTGGGTCGGGAAGATCCCCTGAAGGAGGAAATGGCAACCCACTCCAGTATTCTTGCCTGGGAAATCCCATGGACAGAGGAGCCTGGCGGGCTACAGTCCATGGCGTCGCAAACAGTCGGACATGACTGAGCGACTAAACAACAGCCCGACAGGCCTCCCTGGGGACATTTGGGCACACATGATCCCTGAAATGCACCCGGGCAGGCACAGGCGCACCCAGAACTCCCCGCCCAGCACACACACAGCAGTGGCTGTCGCCCAGGCTTTCAGGCCCCATCTCACATACACACACCCACCCTGGGTACCCTGGTCCCAAGCAAGGAGGGACAGAGCCCTCAGGTGACACCAGGCTCACACTCCAGGCCGGAGCACCAGTACAGTAGGTTTATTTCTCCTTTGCTCTCAAGGCAGAGCCAGCATCGAAATCATAACAAAAACAGGGCCCGAGGGTGGGGAGCAGCCCCCTTGGTGGGCCTGAACGCAAAGCTCACCTCCCCTGGCGTGGGGCCCAGCCCAGGGACCCCACGTGGCCGTGGCCAGGACCCCTTGCCCTAGGCCTGTGGGGCAGGGCAGAGGCAGCACCAGCGTGGGGGGAGGTCCCCGGCCCCGAGAGCACAGGCCATGGCCCCGCCTGCCGACAGGCAGGCCCACACCCACATCCACCTGCTCAGGCCTGCAGCCTCCAGACCTCCAGCGACAGGCCCCCGGAGGCAGCCACCACCAGGTTGCCCTCAGCACAGATCTGTGAGGACAGGGACAGCAGTCAGGGGTGCTCTCAGGGGGCGGGCGGGGCGCGTGGGACAGGGCCTTACCCCATTCAGCACATTGTGGTGGCTTCGAGTGCAGATGGTCCTTGGCGGGTCTGTGGGCACGTGTACCTGGTGAGGGGCAGTGGGCAAAGGTCATGGGACGTGTCCCCAGCAAGTGAGGGTGGGTAGAGAAGAGGCACCGTCCTGGGCCCTCACCCGGATGGTCTTGTCGGTAGACGTGGTGTACAAGGCCCCCAGGGAGTGCTTGATCCCCGTGATCTGAGATCTGTGGCCCACGTCAAAGGACTGGGGGAGGGAGGGACAGGTGACACTCAGGTGTGGCTCTCCCTAGGCCAGTGCCCCACTGCCCCCCAGGGGTTAAGAGGCGGGGAGGCAGCCCAGGGAGAGTCGGGCAGGGGCGAGGGCCTTGGCAGACCCGGACAAGCTGGAAGTAGCCACTGCGGTTGGCAAAGACGTGCAGTAGGCCCTGGTTATCGCCGGCCCAGAGCTGAGGTTCCTGGTAGGACATGCAGAGCAGGTAGGAGTCCAGCTGCAGGAGGGACAGGGGATGGAGTGGCTCAGGCCAGTCCAGGTCACTCCACGCAGCCCCGGCCCTCTGGGCCCCCGGGGGAAGGCCCACCTGCAGCCGCTGCAGGACACTGTTGGCCCGGCGGTCGAACACCACGAGCGTGTGGTCCTCGCTGCCTGAGATGATGTGCCGGTCGTCCGCCAGCAGTGCCAGCACGGCGCTGGAGTGCAGCCGCCGGCTCTTCAGCAGGGCCGGGCCAGCTTTGTGGGTGAGGGGCCAGGGAGGAGGGGGACATCAGAGCCCCTTGGAGCCCCCCCCAGATCCCGGATCTCCATCCTCCATGGCCTCCTCTGGGGGCCCTCCAGTCCATTACCCCATCCCATGTGGAGACAGGGCTTCCTCTGCCCCTAGCATCCCGCACACCAGTCATCTTTGTGGCCCCCAGCTTTGGAGTGGCCAGCCTCTGGTTGTGTGATTGTTACCCCAGTCAGACTGTGAGGACCAAGTGTTTCTTTTCCCAAAATGACCCTGGAGACCCCAGGCAGTCCTGCTCTCCCCACCTAGGCCCCAGGGCCCACCTCTGGGATCGTAGACGGTCACCTTCTTATCATAGGTGCCGGTCACCAGGATATCTGGCCGGTAGGACAGGCACAGAACAGCTGCCTTGGCCCTGGGGACACATAGGCCACAGAGCTGGGGCAGGAGCCAGACAGAGCCCTGCCCACCCAGGCCCCCCTGCCCAGGTCCCCTCACACTTTATCTCGCCAAACTGCTGTCCGTCAGCTGCCATGTCCCAGAGCTTCACTGTGCTGTCCCAGGAACCAGAGCACACTCGGTGGTCCAGCGCTGCCAGTGACCACACCCAGCCCTGTGGGACCAGAGCCATGTCCTGTGATCTTCCCCATTTCACAAAACCCAGAGTGAGTCAGCACTGAGGAGAGATTAGAGCTCAGGTCTGTGGGTCTGACTTCAGAACCCAAGACCTGCACGGTATTGTTGTGGTTTAGTTGCTAAATCATGTCCAACTCTTTGCAATCCCATGGACTGCAGCCTACCAGGCTCCTCTGTCCATGGAATACTCCAGGCAAGAATAACTGAACAGATTGCCATTCCCTTCTCCAGGGGATCTTCCAGACCCAGGGATTGAACCCATGGCTCCTGTACTGCAGGCAGATTCTTTACTGCTGAGCTACCAGGGAAGCCCAAAACATGTACACCCCCACCTGATAATGTTCCTAAATCAAGTACTTCAGAGCCTTAGCACCAGCACAGGTTTGAGGCCACGTGACAATGTGATTAAGAATAGGACCTCCACAGAAATTCTCTGGTGGTCCAATGTCTAAGGCTCCCACTGCAGGCGGCCTGGGTTTGATCCCTGGTCAGGGAACTAGATTCCATGTATCTGTAAACCTGATATCTGAGCACCTACTCTACATGAGCCTGAGTGAAGCTCTTAATGCATAGTCACCTCATTCAACCTCATCCTAACTGAAACCTGGACAGAAGCAGTAAGTGAGGCCCAGAGAAGTCATATATTTTACCCAAAGTCACACGAACAATAGCAGAGCAAGACTGAAATCTATGAGGTCTGGGACTTTCCTGGGGACACAGTGGATAGGAATCCACCTATGTATGCAAGGGACACAGGTTCAATCCCTGGTCTGGGAAGATTCCACATGTCAAGGAGCAACTAAGCCCATACACCATGACTACTGAAGCCCATGTGCCCTAAAGCCTCACAGTGCAACTACTGAGCCCATGTGCTGCAACTACTAAATAAACCTGCTCTCACCTAGAGCCGGTGCCCCGCAACAAGAGAAGCCACGGCAATGAGAAGCCCGAGGACTGCAACAAAGAGTAGTCCCTGCTCACCACAACTAGAGAAGGCCACAGTGCAGCAATGAAGACCCAACATAACCAAAAAATAAAAATAAAAAAATAATAAATCTATGAGGTCTGGTGCCAAAACCCATACCCTCAGCCAGTGTCCTACCCAGGCCTCCCAGCTCCTGCCTTTGCCTGACCTCCTGTCCCCTCACCTTGTGAGTGCTGTTCTTCTGGGTTCCCAGGGTCTTGACCAGAACCTGGCTGGGCTCCACCCCCAGCTGCTGAAGGTCCCACAGGTTGACATTGCGATCTCGGGAGCCCGACAGGCAGAGTGTCCCACCCTGGGAGAGGAGCGAGGTGGTGTGGTTGGGGTCACCCTGGCCCCCAACTGCCAGGCCCTCCACCAACCCCCGTCTCACCTGAAGCAGCAGCACTGAGTCAATGGAAGCAAAGTGCCCATCGGCCAGGCAGAAGTACTCAGCCCTGCGCCCATCCTCTGCCCAGCGTGACAGGTGCTGCTCCAACTCAATGCAGGCCTTCGGCCAGTCAAAGTCCTCCTCTGTGGGATGTAATACCAGGGTTCCCAGTGGGCAGGAAACCTGCCACCCACTCCAGCTGTCCAAGCTCATCACTGGCTTCCAGGGAGCAGAAGACTTGGAGAGAATCCCACTTGGATCCCTTACCCCACCCAAGGAGGCCCAGGCTCTAGCTTTGGGACCACCATCCCACCCACCTGCCATGCAGGTCTAAGACTGCTGCTTACCGTTTCCAGGAATTGGGTAATTGGAGCCCCAGGATCACCTTACCAGGCCTCATTCTCCAACCTCAGGATGTTAAGGTCCTGCCTCACCCCTGGCTGAGGTCCAACCTCAGCCTTACCCTCCCCAACCCTCAGGCTGGGCACAAGAGCTAGGACTACATAACTAACACTTCCTGTTTTGGCCACCTGAACCAGACCCATGGAAGTGTTTCCCGAAATCAGTATCCCAAATCTGGGACCCTTGTCAAGGCACCCAAGCCCTTGACCCAAACATCTATATTTTAATCAAGCTGTTCAGTAAAGTCCCATCAATTCAGGATCACCATGCTTCATTATCCTCTAGGGACCAAAGACTTTGGTGGCAGAAGGAATGACCACCAGCCCTTGTCTGAGATCACAGGTTAGACCCTGAACTTGAGGGTCTGTGACTGATGGTATCAGGGATCCCAACCTCTAAACCATAGCTTAGGTTCAAGGGCTGTAGACTCTGGACCTGTGTCCATGTCTCACCCTCACCTAGGCCAAGACTCTAGGGTATGGGACTTTGACATCACCAGTTGCTGCCTTAGCATCTAGACCCAGAACCTGGGGATTCTTGGTCTTACTTTGAGCACCAAGCAGATTCTGACAGCCTGAGAATTTAAGTCGCTGTGGCAACCTGCCTGAGAATCATTAGATCTTTAGTTCAGGGACCACAGTTATCCAGGTGGATTTCTATAGCCTCAGGATCCCAAGTATCGGCCTCACGGTCCACCCAGAGGTCAGGGGCTTTGGTACTACCAGTAACTACCTCAGCCACCCTGAGCCAGGGCAGCCTGGGAGTTTCCTCCAGTGGACCTGGACCCCTCCCCCCTCGCCCCAGGCCTGACTTGGGCGGGCGACCCCCGGACGCGCGCACCTTCCACCACTGGGTAGGGCGCGCGTACGCGGCGCTGCGCGCGTAGCCTCCAGGTGACATGGTCACGCACGAGGTCGCGCAGCGCGTGGCAAACGCGTGGCAGGACATGGAGCACGAGGCGCGCGTCGAGGTAGGCGCAGATTTCGAGCAGCAGCTCCGGGGGTAGGCTCAGCAGGCCCGGAACCGCCACAGTCGGGCCCTTGGACGCGGCCCACGGTTCCAGAGTGCCAAGGGACACCGTGGGCGCGGGCAAAGGAGGGGCGCGCGGGGGTGCCAGCCTGAGTTTCGGAGGACTGAGCACGCGGGCCACGTAAGCCTCGGCCTGCGCGTCGGGGTCAGGCTCCAGCTCCGAGTCCGAGTCATCGTCCCAGGCGTGGGGATCATCGCGCGGCTCTGGAGGCAGCTCCATGGCGACCGGGTGGGCGCGGCTGGCCCTGCCCTGTCAGCCGCAGAGCCCGCGTCCTGTCTCCTAGGCAGCACGACGGCATTTCCGGCGCTGCCAGATGACGTTAGGCGCCAGCCGGAACCAAGCAACCTGCGTGGAAACTGGCCGCGTGATAGATGCTGGCCCCTCGGAAAGGTCTAGTTCTTAAGCTGCGTCAGCCTTGGGTTGGAAAATGCAGATTCCTGGTTCCTGCGTTTAGTAAACTAGCATGTCTGATGTTGCTGATGCAGAGGGCCATTGGACTCTGGTTTGAAAAACATGGCCCTAAAGCCCTTCTCACAGACACGGGAGCTCAGAAATAAATCCCTTTTTCCTGGTTCGAAATCTAAGCATGCTAGATTCCTATCTTTTTTTTAGCGACCCAGAAACACTTACACTGCAGAGCCCTCGGTGAAAGTTACCTAAAATCCTACTGATGAAAACAGCATCTCATTTACCAATAGCCTCTTTTGAGCCAGGAAGGGTTAACTCACAAACTCTAAGCAGCACTAGCCCGTTTCCTCTTCTGATATGCACGTGACTCTTTGCTCAATCACCTTAGCAGACTACCCTAAGCACCCAGAGTACTGTAAGACTGATCATTTCCCAAAACGTACTCTCTCCCCTACCCCCACTATATTTTTCTCTATGGGACATACCGCTGTTTCACTGGTTAGCTTTATTTCTTCTACTAAAATGCACACACTTGTTGAATGAAAATTGGTCGTATCAGCATTCAAAATTTTCTTCCAGGTTGATGCAGGTGATCGCTGGGTTTAACAGAGGTTGCAAGACTTTATCCTGAGGCCTCTGCATCCCCAGATAAGAGATTTTTTATTTGCCTTTAACTGTTGTCCATGTTTTCCTCGGCCCCACAGCCTTGATGCTGGGTTGAGCATTCTAAAAATCCTGAGTTGTGAAACCAGCTGAAGAGTGCAGCAAGGCCTTGCTCCTTGCCACTCAGTTTAGTCTTTAGCCAATGGTGATTTTGAATCTGTGCTGTAGTGAGCTCAGGTTCTAGTGAACTCGCAGACTGTCATTATGTCCCAGAGACTGTGTTGCATGTGTTATGTTACCACATTTAATGTTTAATCTTACTTCCCCACTCCCCCAGTTATTTCCTGGTTACTGTACATCCCATTTCTAAAATTCTCCAGCCCCCCCTCTACATCTCTTCTCTACTGCCCAAACCCAAGGACACAAGAGGCCAGATGGAGACCAAGGGTTTCACAAGAAACTGATCTTTACTCAACAAAGTTCTACACAAGTGGAATCTCACGCCACCTTGGCGCCAGTCCCCAGCACAGCACAGTAACAAATGGACAGACCCTGGAGCCCGCAGGAAGAAAAGGATGAGGGGAAGGGGGGATGTGCGAACGAGAGGGACTGCAGATCGAGGCCAGTCAAGGTCTGCAGCCCTGGGCAGGGGAAAAAGGTTGAGAAGCTGAAACTTCGTTGTGCAAAAATCAACCAAAATAAATTAAAAAATTAAATAGTTTTCTTTAAAAAAAAAAAAAACACCTAGAAACAGGCCCCCCATCTTGGATGGAGAAGGGGTTACCAATCCCATCAGGCAGCCAATCCACACACCCCAAGACCCAGCAGAGGATGCTCCAAAGCACTGGAATTACCAGAAAATTAAATGGTTACTTTTTTTTTTCTTTTCTTTTTTTACAAATGGCTTCCAGAGACCTGCTGGAGTTTCACAGCGGGGAACCAGCTGGGTTTATGGAATGTGCACCAGTGCCCCTCTGGCGGGGCCCCAGAGGGATGGATGGAGCAGGCCCCAGAATGCAAGAATCCAGTCAACCCCCACCCCAGCAAATCGCAAATTGCAGAAAGGCCCCCAAAGAAATAGAAAGCAGGGAAAAGAGAAAAGAAAACCCCAGTATGGGGGTTGCAAGGCTTGGTTTCAGTTTCTAGGCCAAATGGGAAGTTACCACCCCTCCACCTTAGGGGAGCCTCTCCCAGTGAAGGACTCCCCAAACAATCCCACAAGTTTCACTGCCCTAGTCTGGTGGGGTCTTAGGGCCTGCTGGGAACTGTGATCATAAGTCCCAGGGCCAGAGGGGGATAAGGGCGTATACCACCCTTCCCTTCCTCCAAGTCTTCAGTTTCTTTCTGGCTAGCAAAGCCTAAACCTTTGTCTTCCGTCACCATCAATTAAATGCCCTAGCCCTGGCCCTTGTGTTAAAACTCAGGGCTGAAAGAGTGCTCTTGGAAGCAGAGAAATGAACTGCCTTTGAAACGGACTTGCTTATAGCGGGGAAGGTGTCAGCAGCTCTGGCTGCTCCCAGCTCTCTTCAGCGGAAAAGGTTCCATCCAGCCCAGCATCTTCGTAGGTCACTGGGGCACAGGGGAGGGAGAAAAAGGCGACCTCTGGCCAGCCCTGGCCACTTTGGTGGTCCCAACTTTTCTGGCTGGGATGGGAGAAGGAAGGGGGACACACTGGCTGAGGCTGCCACAGAGCTGGCAAGAAGTGTGCGGAGCAGGTCCAAAGCGTGCACGTGCTGACTGAGTGGCCCCAAGGTGGCCATCCTCTTCCCCCCACCCCCGCCCCAGGGTCCCAGTGGAGGTCCCCAACCCACCCAGCCCTCCCTAATCACTGCCAATTCCGGCAAAACAGCAGAAGCTTCTTAAACTCTAGATGCAGGTTACACGGAAGGCCTTACGAGTTAACTCAGGGGTTCACTAATTCTACTGTCTCCATGCAGTCGGGGAAATGGTGGGGCGGCTGGCCCAGCCTGGCTGGCAACAGCACCCGCACATGCGTGTAGCCATGTGTGTACGTGTGAGTGTACTTGTCTCTACAAGGACCCCCCTCCCCGCCTGCTTTTCCCTTGCCTCATCCTAAGCCGGATTTGGTCGGCCGTGTTGATGCCTCCCTCCCACATGGCTGGCCCAAGTAGGCTGCCTGAGGTGACCCCAATTAGAGCAAGGGGTCTTGCTTCCAGGAAGTCCCACCCCCCTCCCGTTTCTAGGATGAGCGTGGAGGCCCCACCCACCTGCCCACCCTCTGACCAACCTCCGGCCAGCCATGGCAGGTAGATGGACAGGGAAGGCGTCTGGATTTGGGTCCCGCTAACTCCTCCCTAACCCCCCTCGACCAGGGCACAGCGACTTCTGGACGCAGCACGCTCCCCAGCAACCCCTCTGACGACGACGCAGACAGAAACCTGTGGGGAGAGGAGGGCATTAGGGCCTGTACCATCAGGGCTCCTGTGACAGTGCCAGCCCTCTGTGAACACGGGCCCCACACCTGGCAGTCACGATGCTTGTCTAGACCCCGTAGAAGGCGGCTAGCCTCTCCTTCAGCAGTGGCGGGAACTGCTCCGAGAACTGCTGCCAGTTTTCCTCCCCCACTTGGTCTTTGAAGCCATGGAGGATCTGCGGTGAGAGAAGAGGAGTCAGGGGCGCCCTGGAGCAGCATGAGAGGAGGATGATCTCAGTCTCTCACCACCCTGCCACCTCCCAAGACTAGATTAGGGCCCAGCTGGGGGGGTCCTCACCTTATAAAACATGTCCCGAAGGTCATCCTTCGGGCTCACCCAGGAGGCTACAGCGTCGCAGAAGAAAATAAAGTCCTGAAACGTGACGGATCCCATGTGAGGGTCCGTCCAAGCCCAGCCCCAGCGCCTTCCCTCCGAGCCCAGCTGCCCCAACCTGCACGACGCCCCCAGGGTTGACGCCTATCATCATGCAGATCCCACGGAAGGCCGAGTCCTTCTCCTCGTTGTCCCTGATGTTCCTGAGGGACGTGCACCTGGTTTGGTGGGGTGGGGGGGAGGGGGGAGGTAAGCGGTGGGGAATCAGCCCCTGGGGCTGGGGCACTGTGGACATCTACGGGGGACACTGGGGAGCGGCGGCTGGGCTGGGGGAAGCAGGAGGTCAGGGCTCGGTGGGGCATTGTGTAATCCATGAGTGGGCAGGGCAGGGCTGGGTGGGTGCTGGCGAGGGCTGGAGTGGGGCCCCACCCGGGTGGGCACACACCAAGGCCGGATGAACTGCTGCAGCATCGGGGCCACCTCCTGCGGGCACACGTAGCCCAGGCGGCCGATGGTGATGGCTGGAATGGCAGAGGGACTCGTCAGGCGACCTGCAACCCCGAGCGGCCCGGGTACGTGGCGGGGCCTCCAGCACGAGGCGCCAGCCCCACCCCACGGGCCCCAAGGGAACAGCTCCTGCCAGCTGCCTGGGTCCCCAAGCTTGGGCCAGTCAGGGTCTCCACCCCATCCAACTTGGCCCTCTCCCAGGTCTCCCCTTAGGCCAACACCCTTTCCAGGCCTCTACCCACTGCCTTATTCCCATTACCCTCCCTGGTTCTTTCTCAAGACCTCTCTGTCAGCTATCCTCCTGGCTGGGAAGCCCCACCCCTGGGAGGCGGCCAGTGGCTCAGGCCTGGCGCCCACCTGTGTTTTCCAGCAGTGTCTTGGGCGTGTTGGGCCGGTTGATGATCTCCACCAGATTGTTGAGGACCATCTGCACATAGGGCTGCATCTCTGCCCCTAGGGGACAGGAGAGTCAGAGCCCTGGGTGGCCCACACCACTCAACCACCCACTGACCCTAACTGCATCCAGACACTGGCCAACCAGTGAGTGAACAAAAAGCCATCTCTAGATGTCCGTGGTCCAGGATCCATGGCCAACCAGAGACAGACCCGCACCCGCCCAACACCAGAAGCCTCCCTGGAGTCACTGCTGGACACCAGAGTGAGACCACACCGCCCCGTCTCCCTATGGGGTAGGCAGGGCCAGGGGGACCTTCAGAGAAGTCTCCCAAAGAATCCCAGTGGGGCTTTCAGTCAGTTGCTTAGAGAGGAAGGAGGTGATGATGAATCCAATAAGAATAGGCTTCCTGTCCCTGTGCCTCTTTGGAGAAGCCAGTTACATGTGCTCTTTCAGTCATCTGTCCCCATCTCAGATGAAAATGCTCAGAGGTTTCCCCCTCATCCCTGGCCAATCGGCACCTGCCTCAAGGAGCACCAGGGCCCTCAAGAGCAGTGGTCCCCAACCTTTTTGGTTACCAGGGACTGGTTTCGTGGAAGACAATTTTTCCACGGACCGGGGTAGGATGGCTTTGGGACAATTCAAGCACATTACATTTACTGTGCACTTTATTTCTATTATTACAGCAGCTGCACCTCAGATCATCAGGCATTAAATCCCAGAAGCTGGAGACCCCTGCTCTAGAAGGGTCCTGCCACCAGGCTGGGAACAAGCCAAAGGGAAGGGAAAGGGCCTGCCCACCTACGGGCACTTACCCATCTGCATGCAGATCTCACCGATGGCCCAGGTGGCATTGTTGCAGACAGAGATGAACTCGGGGTTCAGGTTGGTGCCCAGGATGGGCATGAACTCAGCTGGTGGGGAGAAAGAGGGGTGGTGAGCAGGGGGGGCCAGTCAGGGTGAAGCCTCCGGAAACCTGAAGGGCAGGCCCCATCAGACAGTACGAATACATCCCAGTTCGGTCACAGTACTCCCAGGTCATCTTCTCCATCACTTGAGGCCAGAGCTGGGGTCATGGGGTGTGGACGCAATGGGTGTCGTACCGATACAGGGCTTGACGTGGATGAAGCAGGCTTTGGTGAGGTCTCCCAGGAGGGCGAAGGAGCTCTGCCGGACCTCAGGCATGGAGTCCTGGGGGTCACAGGAGGGTCAGGGTGGCAGGGCTCCCCTTCCCCCAGCCAGCTAGGGGCGCAGTTCCTACAGCACGAGCTGACCCTGCCTCTTCCTAGCACCGAGGCTGCAGGCCCATCTGAAGATCCAGGACTCAGGGGCACATGAATGAGTGCCCCGCACAGGGTACCACTTAGAACTGCTTTCCATACTGATACGCTGGGGGTGGGGAAGTGATGTTGGAGGGGCTTCTGCTTTCACATTTCCTATTTTCTACTTTTTAATTTCCTACTCTGTTGACTTTTTCAATAAGATGTTACTCATATCTCATTTGAATCACTTTTTAATATAACCACCAGTTCTTTTAATAAGTTCTTTCTTTCTAATATCCTCGGGGCATAACCAAGGCCCCAAGTCCACCCCAGGCATCCCACAAAGGCTTCTGGGGGTCACCACTGTCCACTGAGAGGCCTGTGAGGGGTCCACCCACCTGCATGCACTGAAACAGCAGTGTCATGATGTTGCTACGGGCGACCAGCTGCTCCACGTGTCCACCCAGGCCCTCAGCCAGGCCACTGAGCAGGTCTAGTGCCACAATCATGAAGTCCTTGTCAGGGGCCTCATACTGCTCAGGGTGCTGGGTATACATCTGGGCACAGAAGGGGGAGGGCAGGGTAAGGGGAGTGAGCTCAGGCTGGGGCAGCAGCAGAGCGACGGGTGGTGGGGTGATGGCGGTGGGCTGCTCACCATGGCCTGGGCCAGCGTCTTCTGCACCAGGGTGACACAGCGCTGGTAGACCGGCTCGCAGTAGGGCAGGAAGCCGCTCTGCAGGGCAGTGGCCACTGATGACAGGCACTGGTAGAGGGAAGGGCAGGAGGTGAGCTTAGGTGAGTGGAACAGGGCCACGGGAGAGGGCCTGAAGCTGACCCACCTCCAGCAGGGGGAAGAGATCCTTGTCTTCGTCTTTGAGTTCGTTCCACTTCTGAATCAGCGGAGGCATCAGCTTCTGGATGTATTCCTGGAGAGGGAGCAGGAAGTTGGGGATCCCTGGGTGCGGGTGGTGGCCTGGGAACCAACACGATTCCCTCTGACTCAAGAGGTGCTCATCGTCTGAACCATGAGGTCCAGGCCCTTTTCTTTGGCTCCTGGGGTCCTCACCAAGCAGCCAGACCTCCAGGCCCTTCTAGTTCATTCCCTTCTCACCCATCCTAAGCCCCACCGAGTTGGTGCTTCCTGCTTCCCGCGGGCCCCTGAGCTCCCCCCGCCCAGCACTTACCACGCTGTCTCATAACTGTCTGTCTCCCCTACTAGACTGGGAGCAGGCTGAGGGCAGGGGCCGGGTCTGTCCGCCTGCCTGTCGAGGTCATGGCCACGTCCCTGGCGTGCGACAAGGGTCGCCACCAGGTCACTGGATGCCGGGGAGGGGACAGGGGGGATCAGGAGGAGGGAGCTGCTGTGGGGTCTCACCGGCTGGTTGAGGTGGTGGCCCACAGAGTCAGCCAGGGTGCCGATGGCGTCGTAGAGGATGAGCAGGTTCTTGTGCTGGTACTTGCCAAAGGCGAAGACAAGGGTGTCTAGGATGTAGCTGAGGTAAGGCACGAGCTCTGTGCAGGCCTCCTCCTCCAGGGTGGCGAAGGCACTGGAAGGGGCAGAAGTGTTCAGTGGGCCGCCACCAGTGGGACTGGGCTCTGGGTGGGGTTCAGGAAAGGGGCACTCGGGATCAGCCAGTACGAATACGGTGAGAAATCAGCGCACTGTCAGGAGTCCTAAGTATCATCACTTCCCAGCGGGCAGCCAGTGGGGCAGGTGAGGTGAGGTCTGTGGGGCCAGGGGTCAAGGGTCACCTGCAGGCTGCCTCCTGTACCCTCTTGTTGCCATCCAGGATTCGCTTAAGCAGCTCTGTCATCAGAGGCTTCAGGTGCATGTCGGGGGGCTGGCTGACCACCCAGTGGGCATAGCGGCTCAGGGTCCAGCAGGCAATGGAGCGGACCAGGGCCTTCTTGTCCGACAGGCACTGGATGAGGTGCGGGATCAGCTCAGGCAAGTAGGGCACCATGCCCTGCATGCAGCCTGTAAGGATCGGGCACAGAAGCAAGGCTGAGCCAACTGGGCCAGGCCACATCCACCCTTCTGGGCAGAGGGGGAAACTGAGGCATGGAGGTTAAATAACTGTCTCAGAGGCACAGAGTCAGTGAAAGGCAGGGTGGAGATGGGAAATGGCATCAGACTTCCCTGGTGATCCAGTGGATAGGAATCTGCCTGCCAATGAAGAAGATGAGGGTTTGATCCCTGGTTTGAGAAGATCCCACATGTCTCCTGAAACAACTAAGCCCACGTGCCACAACTACTGAAGCCCATGCACCCTAGAAACTGTGCTCCGCAACAAAAGAAGCCACCTCAATGAGAGGCCCCTGCCTCAGTGAGTACTCTGCTCACAACAACTACAGAAAGCCTTCGCAGCAACAAAGACCCAGCACAGCCAAAATACATAAATACTTTCCATCAGTTTCACCCCATCCCAGGGCTTGTGCTGTCTACTGGTTACTTTATGTGTGTGCTCAGTCGTGTTCAACTCCTTGCAACCCCATGGATTGTAGCCTACCAGGCTCCTCTGTCCACATGGGATTCTCCAGGCAAGAATACTGGAGTGGGTAACCATTTCTTCCTTCAGGGGATCTTCCCAACCCAGGGATCAAACCCACGTCTCTTCCATCTCCTGCACTGGCACATGGATTCTCTACCACTTGGACACCTGGGAAGCTATCTGGTCACTAGTTCATAGATGGCTGGGCTGCAGAGTTAACTCAGACTTTATGGGCAGCAGCAACCCAGGTGGACAGAAAGCACCTTTCTTTTGAAACCTTTCTTAGATGTCCGTGACTTTTTTTCCTACTTTTCATCTTCCCTTTCTTAAAAAGAAAAAAAACCCTGTATGTGTCTGTCTCTCTTTTCACGGCAGATCACAGGTAAAGCACACCCCTTGATCATCCCAGCCCTGAGATCTATTTTTATCGACACAGGGTCAATTTCTTGAGATCTTTCCCACTAAAATGAAGAACACTGCACATGTTACAGCGGATCTGGGTGCTGAGGTAGTCTGAGTCTGTCTCCTCTCACAGATCTGGAAAGCCCTCTGGTAATTCACCCTGGTGCACACCATCGGGACAAAGGGAGCCAGAAAAGTGAAGGAAACACCACCTTTGCACACTTCTGATCCTGGCAGGCCAGCCTCGCAGTCAGAGCAGGTTTGAGGCCCAGCTTCATCCCAGTGACAAGAAAAGTGATATAATTCTCTTTGTAGCTGAGTTTCCTCATCTAAGAAACCCACCTCCTTGGGTGGCAGTAAGCTCATAGGACAGGGCTGCCTGATATTACTGTAGCTGGAATTATGCTTAAGACCTCGTGGAACTGCCTTTCTTTGAACTTAAGGAGAGGGCTTACATTTGGAGGTCCCTTTCAGGCCTTTGGGCTGAGGTGGTTGTTGTTTAGTCACTAAGTCTTGTCAGACTCTTTGCGACCCCAGGGACTGTAGCCCACCAGGCTCCTCTGTCCATACGATTTCCCAAGCAAGAATACTGGAGTGGGTTGCCATTTCTTCTGCCAAGGGATCTTCTTCCCAACCCATGGATCGTGCCTGCGTATCCAGCATTGACAGGTGGATTCTTTACCACTGAGCCACCCAGGAAGCCTGATCTTGGGCTGAGGGTAAGATTCAAATCCCAGAGCTGCTTGGAGTGGGGTGAGCAGGCAGCTGGAGAGAACCTGGGGATGGCCTTGCCCCCACCAGCCCTCCCTGGGCCAGCCCCATCTCACACCAGCATGAGGCTCAGAGGTCACACGCAGTCAGGCTGGAGGGTGACTTACCCTCAGCAATGGCACCCAGCACCAGGATGCCTGACTCCTTGACCACCCACTCAGGGTGGAAGAGAAGGTCCTTAAGCAGGGGGAGCAAGTGGGGCAGCAGTTCCTCCCGGAAGACGTTGGCCAGGACATCCAGTGCAGCCGCCGAGCACTTCCCTGGGGCGGGAGGGGAAATGGGGGGCGGGCTCAGGGAGGCACGGGCGCAGGCCACCAGCCCTCCTCTCTGTAACCCCTGGGATCTGAGGCCGTGATTTGAATCTTCGTGATTTTGCTCTGCATAGGCTTCTGGTCACCTGTGAGGGAGCCCAGGGCCTGCTGTCCCCTACTCCCCACTTCCTACTGCAGGCCAGGCCACTCACTCAGATTCCAGTCGGACAAAGCGTCATCGTCATCATCATCCTCCGCGTCCTCTGAGCCGTCGGGCCGCTCGGCCTCATGGGGCAGTGTCACCGTGCGCGACTTGTGGAAGCGTGGCTTGATGTCCTGTTCGCTGTCAGGGACAGCCTCATCCTCCTCAACATCCCCCTGTGGAGCCAGGCAGATGGCTGAGACCCCCGGAGGCCCCCAGCACCCCAGCCTTCCTTCCCGCTGCCCGTGACTGGTGGTCAGCCCTAGCTAACCTTCAGCAGGATGATGTCGATTTCCGAGTACTTCATCCCTTTTACCAGGATGGGGATCAGCCTGTTGGGAGAGAGGCTGTTAATCAGGATGCAGGGGTCCTGAAGACAGCTTACAGCCTGGGGAAGAGGGAAGTGGAGAGGAGTTGCAGGCAGGAGCATCAAGGAGCCAAGGGGTAGACCAAACATAAGCTTGGAATAGTGCCTGACCCCTTGTTGTTTAGTCGCTAAGTCCTGTCCAACTCTTGCAACCCTACCAGGCTCCTCTGTTCATGGGATTCTCCAGGGAAAAACACTAGACTGGGTTGCCATTTCCTTCTCCAGGGAATCTTCCCGACCCAGGGATCACACCTGTGTCTCCTGCACTGGTAGGCAGATTCTTTACCACTGAGCCACCAGTGAAGCCTGATCCCTAACATGCCATAAAGCAGTGACACACAGCCCTGCCCTATCACCAGGCACTTCCTAGCATGGGGCCAGGTTGGGGAGCTAACAGGCAGGGCAGCCTCCCCAACTCCGCTGGAACCCATGCACCTCAGGATCAGAGATTTTGACTAGAGACTTCACTGAGTCGGGGACAGACAAGTGATTCAAGTTGATCAAAAAGGATCAGCCTTAGAACTTTTACAGAGACACTGTAAAGAGTAATGTAAAGAGAGAATGTCTTTACTCTGAGGTTCCCAAGCTAGAAAGCTGCAGAAAGTACTACTATGAGGGCAGGCTGTGCCTGAGAACAAAGTAGACACAGAGGAACTAGATCTGAGCCTAGACAGGCTGCCACTCACATCCTTTGAGCACCTGGATCCAGCTATGCCTGAAGCCTCTGTTGCCTTTTTTTTTCCTTTGGCTGTGCCAGGTCTTAGCTGGGGCACACAGAATCTTCATTGTGACATGAGGGGTTTTTAGTTGAGGCATGTGGGATCTAGTTCCCTGACTAGGGATCTAAACGTGGGCCTCCTGCATTGGGAGCAAGGAATTTTAACCACTGGACCACCAGGGAAGTCCCTCTCTGTTGACTTCATCTTTTCTACCTATAACAACCTAATTTTTAATCCATTAAAGCTACATACCTACCATTTGCGAAATAAACACACACAGGAATAAAAGCAAACCAAGACAGTTGATTGGGACAGGCTAGCACAGAAGGGAAGGCAGAGGGGTGGAGTCTGGGGTGGAGAGAAGGCAGGAGCAGCACTCACTGGACCAAGTGGGAGGCCAGGACTTCCTTGCAGATGGGCTGCTCGGCCAGCGTCAGCCAGAACTCACAGGCCTCGAGGGCCACGTTCTCATCGTGGTCTTGGGTCCTCTGCAGCATGTACTGGGGTGGGGTAGGAGAAAGACTAAGGCCCGGCCCAGTGAGGGGTGGCACCCCACAAGCCTCCCACCCCACAGCACCCCCACGGGCTGGCCCTGGCCAGGTTTACCTGGATGATGCTGTGCATGTGCGGGATGAGCCTGTCAATCCGCACTTCCAGCAGCATCACTAGTGCACGGCACACATTCTTCCGCACCTCAGGGTCATCGTCCACAGCCAGGGCAAACAAATGCTGCAGCGAAGCCGGGATCAGCTGCGCTGGGCCCTCAGCTCTCCCCCTGCACTCCCCAGCCCGTGGCCTACCTCAATGAAGGTGTCAATGTTGTCCATCAGTGCCTGGGCCCGGTCCATGATGAACTGATTCACACAGGCGATGGCGTGGGACCTGGCAGGGAGTGGGTCACATGGGTCACCCTCAATCCTACCCATCCTGCCCCCTCCCCACCCCCTGCAGACTCCCACACACCGGATCTTGGGGCTACAGTGCTTGAAGAACTGGAGGAACTTGGGGATCATGATGTTGAGGGGCCTGTTGAGGGCATCGCTGTCCAGCAGTTCGGACGAGTCCTCACAGATCTTCTGTAGGGCTCCGAAGGCTCCCTGAGTGGAGAGCAGTAGACATGGGCGGGAGTCCCAGTCGGACCCCAGCTCCCAGTCAGGCAGGCCGGCCACGCTGGTCGCCTACCTCACAGGTATTGTAATCCTCCGAGTTGAGAAGGTTGCACAGCTGGGGCAGCAGCTCGGGCCACATCTGCAGCTCACCCTTGGAAGCGATGGTGGTGATGAGAATGCCTGGGGCAGCCGGGAAAGGAGGCTGCCTCAGGCTAGGTGCAGGCCTGCCTGGCGCCCCGGCCCTCCCTGCTGTGCGATCATTCCACCAGCACACAGGCTCTAATCCCTACACACACTTTATTGTTTCTTCTTTTTTTTGGTCATGTAGCACGTAGGATCCTAGTTCCCAGACCAGGAATCAAACCCATGCCCCCTGCATTGGAAGCACAGAATCTTAACCACTGGACCACCAGGTCCCCTACACATTTTTTGAGATCCTCTTTGTCTTTCTGTGTGCCACGCCTGTATCAGGCCCTGAGATACAGCACAGAACTAAACACAAAATCCCTGCCTTTAGGAGCGGATCTGTCCAGTGAGGAAGGCTGCCTGAGATAAAGATAAATCAGTAAAAGTCCTGGGAGGCAAGATGCCAAGAGCTGAGGGAGGAAATAGAACTGAGAAAAGACTTAGCAAGGACTGAGGGTGAAGGTAACAGTTTTTAATTTGGTGGCTCAAGAAGGCCTTGCTGGGTGACACCTTGCTACCTGAGCAAAGACCTGAGGAGGTGGGGGAGAAGTCATCTAAGTCCCTGGGGAGAGAACATCTCCGGCAGGTGGATCAGCAGGTATAAGAAGTCCAGGGTCATGCACAGAATTGGTGTGCTCCAAGATGGATTGTAAGGAGCCAGAGGCACTGAGCAGAGGATGATGGGGAGAGTGGCAAGAGATGAGGGCTGGGACGGGGGAGAGGCACGTCATGCAGGGCCACGGTGGCCTCGGGGAGGACCGCGTCCTGCTTATTAGAGACCCAAGTGCGACCTGCAGTAGGCATGTGAAGTGTCAGGACTCTGGAGCAGTCTGGCAGCTGAGTTGAATATGGGAGATATCAGTGCACAGACACCATATTTAGAGCTGCCATCGCCAACACTCCAGATGACCCCGGTTCCCATGTCTGCTGGGAAAGACACTCCCTGCAGTGGGCAGACTGGCAACAGAGTGCCCAGGCCCATCCCTGTCTGTGTGACCTTGGCCCCATCACCTAAGGGCTCCATGCCTCAATGGCAATAAAGAACACCATCCTCCTAGGACTGCCCTGGCAGTCCAGTAGTTAGAATTCCACAACTTCACTGCCCGGTGTTCAACTCCCGGTTGGGAAACTAAGATCCCACAAGCTTAGGGTGATTGGGAAGCTTCAATGATTTAACTCAAGTACTTAGAGCAGAAACTGGTGCCGAGAATGAGTTTGATAAGTCCAGTTCCTCCTGGTGGCCTCAGAGAAGGCTAAGCGTCACTTTGAACAAAGACAACAGGCCCCAAGATCAACACTTCCAGCAGGTCCAGGAGCTAGCTCAAATTTTTAATACTATCTTTTTGTTCTCATTGCATTTATGATTAAGGCTACCTTCCCTTTGAAAGTGCAAATGTCCAAGGCTCAGTCGTCTCTGAGTCTGAGTAGTCCATGAGGCTCCTCTGTTCATGTAATTCTCCAGGCAAGAATACTAGAGTGGGTTGTCATGCCCTTCTCCAGGGGATCTTTCCGACCCAGGAATCAAACCTGTGTCTCCCAAAGTTAACTGAGCCACCAGGGAAGTCTACCCTGTTGTACAGAGCAAGCAAATCTGTCTCCCCTTCCCACCTTTTATTTTGCCATGCTGCACAGTTTGCAGGATCTTAAGGCTCCTGACCAGGGATTGAACTCCAGACCCATGCAGTAAGAATCCTAACCACTGTCTTGCTTTAAATAGTTATATACCATTTCCACTTTAAAGTAATATTTAAAGTTGATAGACTTAAATTTTAAAATTTTAAGTCAGTTATATGTCAATTATATCCAGTGGAATTCCCTGGCTATCCAGTGGTGGTTAGAATCACGTTTTCATTGCTAAGGGCATAGGCTCAATCACTGGTAGGGGAACTTATTAATTAATTAATTAAAATTGATGAATTACTAATGAAATAAAAATTATATCTCAGTAAAACTGGGCGGGGGGGAGTAAGTTGGGAACAAATAGTAGGGCTGGTGTTTATCAGTAGTGAAAAGGCTTGAGGTAAAATTCCTTGAAAGTTCTTAGTCTTCCTCCTGTATCTTCCTCAGGCAACCTTTTAGAGACAAGAAGGTTCCAACACAAACCTAACCCATATTTCTCCTAAGTTATCACTGGTGAGAATTAGCAGGGAGCCCTCATATTTTAGTTTGCTATATCCTCAGAGATAACAGAAAATTCTGGACACTGAGTGACTGCCTAAGAAGTAAGAACAGCTCTTTCAAGAGGGAATGGTTCAGAGCATGAACCTGATTTGGTCACTTCTGAGCTCTGTTACTGGCCAGACCAGACTCTTCACATCTATGTGCCTCAGTTTTCTCATCTGTAAAATGGGAGCAGTAATAGTACCACCACCCACAGTGCTGGAACATTCAGTGAATCAACATTGTTAACACACTGAGGTTCGTGGCCAAGAGGGCCAGCTCAGAGCATCATCACAGGCCAACTCCCGCTGCACTCTCTCACCTATGGTGGCCCGGATGAGCGAGGAGGCGTCACCAATGTTGTTGAGACATTCCTGTTTGATGAAGTCGGCCACAGGCGGTGGAAAGCTCTGGTAATGTGCCTTCACATTGTTCTTGAGGATGAGGCCACTGAGAGAGCGAGTCGGCTCATCTGTGGGAAGAGGGCCAGGGCTCAGGAGACCACAGGGGAGAAAGTGGGGTCCGCCTTGGGTGGAGGGGCGCCAAGGGCATACCTTCCGACTTGAGTCTTGTCAGGACAAATATCAGGTAGTTGTTGAAGTCAGGAAACTGGTTCAGTTGTTTGAGTTTCTGCTAGGCTGTTAAGGGTCTTGGCAGACAGGGGCCTTCCCTGGGTGGGACTCCCCCCATTACTGCCATATAACCTCTGACTACTGGGATTGGGCAGCCAACTCCTGGGACCTCACGTGTCAACCCCCATGTCCAGAGTAAGGAAGCACTCCAGACACATGAGATTCATACAGCAGGTAGGAGAACATGTCTCAGCTTCCCACCACTCCTGAAGATCTGGCCAGAGCAGGAGAGGGTGAACAAACTCCGCTGTATCTGAAGATGAGCAGAGGCTACTCAGCTCTGCTCACTAGCAATTCAACACTGCATGCTTTTTTTCTTAAAGGGACCTCACACTTTCAAGTGAAACTTGCTTATGGTATATATAAATAGATTAAAAGTTTAAGAGTATTTTAAACGACCAACTGAAAAAAGGAAATTTTACTCACGAACCTAAACTAAAGCCAAGAACCAGCAAAAAGTGTCTCCTTCTCTGCTGGGAAAGGGACCCAAGAATTCTAATCCTTATTTCTTTGCCGAAGTCCGCTCCTGCCGAAGCAGAAAGAGCCTGGAAACTAGGGATTCGACCCCTTCCTCTCCGGGAGATGCACTTGTCGGCTGGGTCCCCCCAGACCCGGAAGGAAGGAAGGATACATCCTGCACGATGCGCTGCGTGGCTGTGTTAGGTGACTGCGAGTCTTTGAGCAACTGAAGGACCTGCTGGAGGCCTTGCTCGTCTGGCTGCCAGTCCATGGCGCAAGGCGAACTGCGGGAGTAGGGGCCAGGATCAGCACCGGATCCCGGAGGCGGCTCTGTGGCAGTCCCAGGCTGAGCCCCCACTGACGTGATGGCGGCGGCCGCGGTAGCGGGACTGGAGCGTCCTCGGAAGACAGGCGGAGGCCGCCGATCCACGCCCGCCCAAGTGCGGGGTCCCCGCCAAATGCGCCATCCACGGCCACGCAGTCGCGGGCTCGGGAGCGCGGGCGGGGGTAGGTGGAAGCGGGCCATTCGAGGCGGCGGCGGGACCCGGAGAATCCTCATCCCACCCAACGCCGGGCCATCGTCCCACCTCGGCCCATGCCACCGCGCTCGGCTGCGGGCCCCAAGGCTTCCACTTCCCTCGAGGCTGCTAGGCGAGGACCCAGCCACCTCCCCATTCAGGGGCCCTGCCCCAGAACACGACAGCGCCCCAGCCCCTGTGGTCTTTCCCGTGCCGGCACGCAGTCCAGCGATTCCCCTAATCAGACCGAGAACAATCGGCAGACAGGTCCCCGATGCCTCTCCAAATGAGAGTCTGCCAGGGCCCGCCTATTCGGCAACAGAAGCCCCCTGGACGAGTCCCTGTCGCTTCCCCAATCAGGTCTGGCCAAGCCTCCCCCCACACCGTTCCAACAACCCCACGCCCCAGTCAGCACTAACTCCCACTGATGGATCACTACTGCTTCCCCCAATCAAGTTGGACCAAGCCCCCCACCACCTCAAGCCGGAAAACGTCTTCGTCCGAGCCCTGCAGCTCCCCCCAGTTAGGCCTGGCCAAATACCCCCCGGGGCATTTCCCCCAACTGCACCCAGCTACGCCTCAAAGTCAGAGCCAGCACAGCCCTTTAGGCCGAAGTCTCACGCCCCTCCCTATCAGGGCCCAAAACCGCCGCCCCCAACTTTTCAACGGGGCCTCCCCAGTCAGACCCAACCGAGCCCCGCCGAAACAGACCCACACACACACCCGATCCTCGCGACGTCCCCCAATCAGGCCCTAAGCAGTCCCCATACACTTCCCCCATTCAGAGCCCCTCCAGCCCGACCCCAGCCGCCCCACTGGCCCAATTTTCGCGGCACCGGGACCTGGCCCGGCTCCGAGGCCCCACCCCCTAAGCCAGGCTCTGTTCCCCCATCCCCCGCCCCGGCCCATTCTCGCTGCCTCTCCAATTGGGCCCAACTAGGTTCTCGGCCTTTCTCGGTCAGGCGCGGCCCCGACGCCCGGGCCGCGCGCAGCGCAGGCCCGGAGCCCGGCGGGGGTCGACGCAAGCCAGGGCCAAGCCGGTCGGGGTCCGGGTGAGGCTCACTTACCCGGCCTCGGGCGGCAGCAGCGAGGCCTTAAGCTGCGGCTTCTCCTGAGACTCGCGCGGAAGGAGGGAGCCAAAGAGAGGGAGTAAAAAAAAAAAAAAAAAAAAAAATCACTAGAGCAAAAGACCTAACTCCTTTCTCTACCTTAATCAGAATGAGGTGAAAAAATTCAGGAAATTTAAGGACAGGAAGATGAAAAAAAAAAAGACATTCCGTGATTCTTGCACCGTCTGAGGACAAAGTAGGGCACCTCTTTTCCAGGAGCAGGAGAGTCCCGGTTCTCTCCTCTCCCACCCCACCCCCATTCACGTCTCCACCCTGCTGACAAAAAAGGTGGGCGACCTTCTGCCATTCCAGCTTTAGTTTCTCCATTTGTCAAACAGATACAAGAATAGTTTGCTGGGTTAGAGATAATCCAAGTTAAGCATTACAAAACCTGCAGTAAATTGTTCCTCAAAAACGTGGTGTTTACTCCCCGAGGTTTAAGGTGGTCCTTTTACTGCATTTGGACCCTCCCTAAACCAATATTTACTGAATCAACTCGGGCTCTAATCCCAAAGGACATCTCAGTCCTGCCCGGAAGGCCGTTTTGGCCTGCAGGGAGGCACAGGTTAACTCTAGCCCGAGCCTGGAAGGAGACAGATTTCTCAGTCCAGTTGCCCTTGACAGTCAGTCCTGGCTCCGTTCATTCATGAAAAATAAATACCTAAGGCCTCTCTTGACGAAAACTGAGGCCGCCAGGATTTGGGACGAGTCAGTTGAAGCCACACTCCATTCCAAGAGTCAGGATCCTAAAGAAGACGACTCCCACCTCAGCCGGCTCCGCTCAACAGGAACCGGGTTTGAGAGACACGCGCCGAAAGCCGCCTACGCATGCGCAATGGTCTGCCCTCGTGCGACCTGAGGGCCTAGAACTACGAATCCCATCCTGCCTTGCGCAGGCGTCGCCGAGCTTACGAACTCTGGCTGGGACTCAAGCCTGAGAGGTCTAGAGACTTTCCGGAGTTGTGTTGAGCAGGACGAAAGAGGTTGAGGGGCTGTGACTAGATCTGGAGGTTGAGGGAGAGGTTGCAAATCAGTTTTCTGCTCAGGGTTAGGGGTTGCCTCAGATAAGGGTCGGGTAGGGAGCGAGTTGGAGATGCAGGAGAATTTGTTAATGCTCACCCCCCTTTCTTACTTTCTTTCCTCCTTTTTGGGGGGGGGGAGCGGAGTGTGGCATCTGGGGAGTCTTAGTTCTCTGACCAGAGATCCATCCTGTGCCCGCTGCAGTGGAAATGCGGAGTGTTAACCACTGGACCTCCAAGAAAATTCTCCTCCCCCTACTTCTGATTTGTCGTTTACAGCGGCTCTGCGCAAGCTTTGTGGGGAGGAGTCCGGGAAGAAGAATGTGACCGCTGCTGCCAGTATGATCCACAGTACTGGCCCTCGTATGATCACGGGTCTTTTTCTCTTCCCCAGATGGTGAATTTCAGTACTGAATCGAAAATCGGAAAGAAAGAAAAGAAAAACAAAAAGCCCCCTGACTTCTTATGCACCTATAAATGTATAAATGTATAAGTGTATAAATGTATAAGTGTATAAATGGTACTCACGACAGCCCTATACACAGCAAACTTACTTCAACTAAAAGAGCTCAGTGCAAGAAAGAATGTATAAATGTTTAAGTGTATAAGTGTATAAATGGTATTCTCACGACAGCCCTATACACAGCAAACTTACTTCAACTAAAAGAGCTCAGTGCAAAAAAGAAACTCAAAAAACTGAAGCCCAAACAGGAATCTGAGATAAGCGACAAACACATCTCAGTTTACAACAGCCTCCCTGCCTGAGCATCTCATCACTCTGCACCCACATTTCAAGGTATTTCTCAAACACGGTCCCCAGACACAAAGTAACTGCTTCACCTTGAGAAACAATAACAGCCCCCTTTAAATGTCAGTTAATTTTGACTATATGAGCATTGTTTTTACTTTAGAACTTCACTCTAAATGTTTCAATATTTTATCCCTATTTTATAGATGAATAACCTGAACCACAGAAAGGCTAAATAACTCACCGAAGATCACACAGCTAACAGACACCAGAAAAGTTTGAAACCGGGACTGTGTGACTCACCAAAACCTGAATTTGATTCTCCTCCCTCTTCACTTTTCCCAGGTCAGGGCAGGTGAGCTCAGTGAAAGGAAGTGCTGATACTCCAGAATAGAGGCTGAGCTGCTACAGGGGCGACCTACTTCTCCCACTTGTTTCTTTTTAAAGATCCAGCGGCTGTCAGTGGCTTGAAGGGAAGAGGTAGAGAAGGCGCCATTGGCTTCCTGTGTCCCCTCCCCCATACTACATCTCCAAGGCTAACATCACACCTGGGCCAGCTCAGCATTATGAAAGGAGGGAGACCTTTCGCCTCATGGGGGAAATAAACCAGACAAGCCTTACTGTGTGTTAGCAGGAAGTAAGGAGGCATGTCTCCTGTTCCAAAGTCTTATTTGTTCACTCTTCAAGCTGGGCGTGATTCAGCTTAGAGTCTTTGCACCTGCTGTTCCTTAAGCCTGCAACACTCTTCCAAGGACCATCCTCACTGCCTGTCCCACCTCCTTAGGGACTTGCAACAGATGGTGTGACCATTCTTGACCAGTTTACAGTTGCCATCTTTCCCCTCTCATCACTAATCCCCTTTCATACTCCCCCCCCCCCCCATAGAATGTATAATGGTGTTGTGTATTTTGTTTCTTGTGTCGTCCCCCCCGCCTCCCCCCCACCCCAACCACAATGTTAGCTCCACTAGGACAGGGAATTTGGACTGTGTTGATACTTGCAATTCCCCACCCCTCACAGGCTGAATCCCACAGTGTAAAGTTGTGTGTGTGTGTGCTCAGTTGTGTCTGACTCTTTGCGACCCCATGGACTGTAGCCCACCAGGCTCTTCTATCCATGGGATTTCCCAGGCAAGAATACTGGATCAGGTTGCCATGTTCTCCAGGGAACCTTCCCGACCTAGGGATGGAACCCACGTCTCCTGTGTCTGCCACATTGGCAGGCAGGTTCTTCACCACTGGGCCACCTGGGAGACCCCGTGGACAGGTGCTAACTCAGCCCTCATCCTTCTGCCTCTACAGGTCCCAGGAATGTGGTGACCACCATGGTCTTTGGAATCATGATGCTCCCCTAATAGAAGAGGGACTGGAGCCTGGCCATAGGATGGGCATGCGTGCCAGGAGGCTCAGCATTCATGCCTGGGAGATGGCCCCACAGCTGGGATGCTTCAGTGTGGCTCCATAATAGGTTTGAGGAGTTAGGAGGCACAGTCATCTTAACACTTTGGTTGGCTCCATGGAGAGCAGGCAGCCAGGTAGCCTTCACTCCAAATAGGATGAGCAATGGGGCCAGGAAGCCACAGAATTACAAGGAACACTAGTGGGGGTCTAAGGGCATCAGGCTTCCTTCAGGAAGGAAGCCCTAGTATATCTTGTCCCCTAGTATAGCAGTTGCCTTGTTCTGCAAGGTGGGACAAACAAGCCCTTTTGCATTCTTTCTCCTGATCATACAAAAAACCACAGCTTCCCTGGAAGCGCTACAAGTCACTGGCAGGACAGACCAACCCCAGTGGAGCCCAGATCCTGGTCCTCTTTACTTCCTCCACTGTCAACACCCCATTAGCCCCTCTTGCCTGATCACAGCCTGGTCTCCTCCATCTCCCAGGTTCTGCCCAGACCCTTTCAGCCAGAGGGATCCTGTTAAGATATAAAACATACCATGCCGATCCTTACCACTGCCCCCCAAAAGTTTCTTCTTACGAATAAAGTCCCAAATTCTCACCCTAGCACACGAGACTCTGCATATAGCACACCTAGGCTTCTCACTCAGCCAGTTCCACTCACAGTGGCATCCTCAAAGTTCCCCGTAAAGGCCAAGCACCCTCCCTGTCTGTATTCTGGCTGTTCACTACCCCACAGACAGGCTGCCCCACTTCCGTCAGGATTCTGATCAGATGTCAACTTAAACACACCCCTCCCTGCAGTCTCTCTCCTGTACTTCTTTGCAGTCATCTCCCTGAATGGGTTCCCCTTTTTATCTGTGTCTGTTTCCTTCCACAAAGGCAGGAAGCATTTGTGGTGTTTTGTTCACTGCAGTGGCCACAGGGCCCAGAAAAACCCCGGCACCCGGTCAGTGCTCCTTGTCTTCTGACTGAACTGACAGCTCTGGCCCAGCCCAAACGGGCCTGTGCAGAGACACTGAACAAGAGCAGCAGCAGGGGTGGGGTGTGCGTCTTAGGGCCGACTCCTGAGGAGCGTTCAACCCCAGGAGGGGTTGCACCCCCGTTATCCCTGACACTCCCACATCACTGGGGCAGACCCAGCCTTTGGTGGGTGTGCAACCAGTCGAGAGGGAAGTTGGAGAGAGCAAAGAAGGCAAGCAAGCACACCAGTCCAGCACTAACTCATGTTCTTTACTTCCCAGAAGTGATGGCTAGAGGGTGGGAGAGGGGTGAGAAAAGGAAGACAGAAAGAGCCAGGGCGAGGGAGGAGAGGGGACAGTAAAACACTGTTCTATGAAGTCTCAGGAGGCAAGTGCTCAAGGTAAAAAAGAGTCCTGGAGAATCATCCGCAGCTGCGGGAAGCATGTCTGTTTCCTTCTGTGTATAAGTCCTTGGGGGGAAAGGCTGCCGCGCTGCCACTGCATTAAATAGTTATGTACATCGCAGAGAGTCCCAGGCCGTGGGCAGGCAGGGAGGGGGGTCATTTCACCAGGGGCCGCGTTTTATCATCATCACCGCACTGGTGGGCTTTGTACTTTTTCACCTCTGCCATGTACTTGGCCCATGCATCACCTTTACTTGTTAATACCTGTGGGGGGGGTGGGATACACAGGGGGTTGGGAAGGGGATGCCAGGAACCAGGGTCAGGACTGTCCTGAGACAGCTGACCCCCCCCCCCCCAACAGCGTACTGGGTCTGAGATAAAGATAAGCAGAGTCAAGTTATCTAGGAGCTGGGTTGAAAGCCCCCCTCCTCCCCCACCCAGTACATCCATCCAAGGGCCAGATAGATACTGAGGAGGGAGGGACGGGGCACCTCGGCCAGGAGCTGAGGCTGGAAGGAAAAGGCAACGGAGGCAGTTCCTGCCACAACCAGTCTGCTCACCTCATCCTCCGTCTTCTGCTTCTTGGCTACTATTCCCGTCTTGAGGGCTAGTTTGTTCCCGCCTCTGCGCTTGCCCACCTGGGTGAAGGGACAGAAGACTGCAACGGTTACAGGAGCCGGGGCCCGCCCTTGGCGGCGCTGAGGCCCACTACACCTTCCTAGCCCGGCCCGGTGGCCCGTCCCGACGCCGCGCCCAGCTCCGCCAGCCGGCCGACCTGCGCAGCAATCAGAGAGGAGCACACGCGACTCAGCGCCTGCCCTGGGCCCATGATGCCCAGGCAGTCCTGGGCCCCCGAGTTGTCCTCCCAGGGAGAGAGAAGAATCCCCACGTGAGGGGGATGAGCTCTGTCCTCACTATCCCCTAGTATGGACCACACAGGCAGCAACAGCTCCCTTTATTGAGCACTTACTGTATACTAAGCCCTGTGCCAAGTGGCTTTGGACATACAATCTCCTTCCACTTTCACAGTCACCTTAAGGTGAAGGTGACAACGATCCCCAGTGGACAGATGAGGAAACACCTTTGAAAAGGAGAAGCCTGTCCCCTGGATCATGCTGACAGCAGACAGTGGAGCTGAATTCAGGGTCAGGTGTGTTGAGGCCAGGGAGCAGCATTCTTGGCCACTGCCTGACGCTTTTCCCTGACACCTAACCTGGCCTGGCCTGGCCTCTTTGAGGGCGCTCCCGCAAATGGCCCCTTGATGACCAAATGGAAAAGGCAGTGACAACTACTGCTACTCTCGTTCACAGGGGGGCACTCGGCTGCCACCCAGTTCTCACACCAGCCCAGGCCCTGTCACTTCAAATATAAGACTTAGCCTGAACTTTCCTCCCGATCCTCTATTTTCTCCCACAAACTGAAGACTTCTTGTGCACCAAGGGCTGTGACAGGCTTTACCCGACATCCCGTCCCTAGCCCTCAACCAGGTGTTAAGTGACCTGAGCTGCTGAGACTATTCTCACACTCATTTTTGACAGATGAAGAAACTTGACCGCGCCCCCACCCAAGTCCATTACTCTTAAGTCAGCACTTTTTTTCCCCCACCACAGGAACTTGCTCTCAACACCAGAGACAAAGCCAGCTCAGGGTTGACAATCAACATAGGTGCCCTTTTTTTAGCCTAGAGTTTCTCAATCTTAGGCACTAATGACATTTTGAACTGGATTATGTTTGTTGTTGGAGGGGGAGGAGAGAGTTGTTCTGTGCATTTTAGGATGTTGAGCAGCAGCCCTGCCCTCTGCTCATGAATATCAGTAGCACTGCCTCCTCCCACTCTGACGACCACAGATGTCCCCAGACTTCAAGTGTGGAGATGGGGTAGGGCAAAATCGTCCCCAGTTGAGAACCACTAGTTTAGCCTTTCCTATAAGGCTTTCCCAGTGGTAATCATATATGATGATGCCCATTTTTGCAAGCAGGGAAAATGAGGTTAGGCCATCTCAGATGCTTCAGGAAAGCAGTAATGCCTGTCATGTTCAGCACAGCATATCCATCACCTAGCACAGTGCCCAGCACAAGGTAAGGTGCTCAATAAATGGACACCGGACGAATGAGAATCATGGAACTCAACAAACCTCCTAGGGTCACACAGTAAGCAGTCTGAGTCTTTCACACAGCTCAGACTCCAGACTTGAATATGACCCATTCCCATAGTGGGAGATGGTCCCCAAATCCAAAGTTCGGGTGGTTACCACTCAAACAGGAATTCTAGTACCCTGGTTTTCCGATCCTGGGAACGCTGTTTCCAACGGAATTTCCCCCAGATCCCAGTTCCTGCGGTCAGACTCCTGGGGTCCCAATCTCCGCCCCCAGACCTCTCTTGTCGGGAATCCAGGTTCTGATCCTCAGCGGGTGACCCGGACGGCCCCCTGATCGGGGTCGGAGGGTGGACCTGGATCCCGATCCCCTTTCTCGGTCCCAATTCCCCAGGCCAAGGAAGACCCTGGCACCCGCCCCCACCCCCGCGGCTCCTTACGAAGCTGAGCGTGGGGCCCGGACCGCCCTTCCTCTTCGGATCCCCGGGACCCGCGGCGGCAGCGGTGGCTGGCTGATCGGGTCGCTGCGGGCCCGGGGGCGGCTCCTCCTGCCGCTGCCGCTGCTCCTCCTCCATCTTCCGCTTGAACAGCTCCAGGAAGCTGCCGTCGTTGGCGAACAAGTTCACGCCGCCCGACACCGGGCTCGAGCCCGCGCCCGACACTTCATCATCCCCGCTCTCGGGCGACGTCCCGGGCCCCGACTCAGCCCATCGGCTTCCGCCGCCGCCGCCGCCACCCGCGGGGCCCGGCGCCTCCCGACCCGGAGGCTCCGCCCGTCTCCCTCGGGCAGCCATTTTGTCACCAGGTGCCGCGCAAAGGACTCCGGGAAGGCCGCTCCCGGCCCCGCGCTTGGCGCCCGACAAGCCTGGTCCCGGGCAATGCATGCCGGGAAGACCCGTCTCCTTCTTAGGGTCCGCAGTGGGGGCGGGGCATGAGAGGCGGGGCGAATGAGGAATAAGGCCTGACGCGGCGCGCCCTCAAGCAGCTGTCCCGGCCCGCTCCGGCCCGCCCCGCCGGGTCCCGCGGAACATTATAACCCTGCTGGGCTCCTGCTGGCGTTACGCAGAGATGGTCTCTTCCGAAATGAGACTATTGTTTGGTTCTGGGTGTGTAGGTGGCTCTCGGGAGTGAGGTTCCCGCTTGGGATTCGGTGGTGTACTAGCTTTTCGGGGCTAGAATCTTCTGACACCAGGGATAATCTCAGTGAGGGGAGAGACGTTGCCTGGCTGTGTGCTCAGCTGATACCTCGGAACCTGGGTCCCTAACTAAAACTAGCTAGAGGGCATATCTAGCCTGGTCCCCGAGAACAGAAATAGGGGTGTCTCTGGATTAGGTACCTCTCTCTGGGATGGAGCTTTCATTTGGAAATAGAGACACAGCTCACTCCAAGGAGCTGAGAGGTTCATATCTGCAAATCAGGATATTTTTTTTATGTGCTAGAGTACTGAAATGAAGCCGCGGATATTTCTAGGTTGGAGTCTCCATCTAAGGTATAGTGTACGCAAAAGGGCCTGGGACCAAGCATGTATTCCTGCCCAGGGCAGAGTTTCAAACAGAATTGGCTGAACTGAAGTTTCCCCTCGAACCTGGGGTAAAGTGGAAGCAGGTTTTGGGGAATCAGGTGCCTTCTACAACAAGGATGCAAGCCCGCATAGATCAGGACTCACTGGACAAGGATCTGCAGACCTCGCCCACAACTGGAGTAATTCTCTCTCTAACCCACTCGCAGCGCCGAGACTGTCTTCAGCCAACTAATCGGTTCGTCTGTGATTGGTTTGCGTCAGGAACCCGATGGCTCCCAGCCAATTGAATAACAGAAGAGACGGACCTGAGGGGTGCTGGGACCCAGTTCGGAGAATAGGGGCAGGAAATGATCGACAAGAAGTTGAGCCTATGGAGTCAGGTCAGGGTGGACCTCGGAACTAACTTCTTGAAAAGGACATGGAATGGGTGTTTGGTCGGTTGCTAAGGAGAGGTTGGCGCTACCGGGACGTGAGAGTGATTGGTGAAAGTAAGAAAAGATGTAGCCAATGAAAGGAGAGCTGCTAGACTTAGAGGCCTATCAGTAAAGGGGAGTATCCTGGGATGTACCAATGTATTAATTAGACAGGGGGAGTCTCTGAAGAAAATGTAGACAAGAGGCTGACATGATGAAGCTTGGAAGGGAAGACATTGGACATATAGCTTCTATTAGCTCCTAGAAGTTAAGCTATGAGAAAATCAATTCAAGCTTCTAGCCTTGATGGGATATGATAGGAAATTTCCCCTGCAGGTTCTTTGCATGGTGCGCTCCGCCTGATCACGTGAGCCGGTTCCAAGATGGCGGCAGGGGCGGCCGGGTGGGGGGTTGAGGCAGAGGAGTTCGAGGATGCCCCTGATGTGGAGCCGCTGGAGCCCACACTTAGCAACATCATCGAGCAGCGCAGTCTTAAGTGGATCTTCGTTGGGGGCAAAGGTGGCGTTGGCAAGACAACCTGCAGGTAAAGAGGCTGCGGTGAGGGCCGGGAAAACGGGTGGGATGTACCACAGGGTGAAGGGGAGGCGAAAGACCGGGTCTTCCAGCACCAGCCGGACAGGAGAGCTGGGGCGGGGTCTTCTAGATTATACTCTCCAGAAGTTATCTGGAGCAAATGGAAGATAGCTCCTGAAAGCTGGCCGGGCACCCTCTGAGTTGGGTCATCCCTGTTCGGGCTCAAAGGCTGAACCACGTTGAATCCAGCGCACGGGGTCCGGGAGAGCACTTAGATGTCCCCATCAGGTAGACTGTACCACAGTGTGCCCAGAGTAGGGGAGGGGCACCTGAGCGAACTCTCCTAATCTGGTGAACCTTGTCATTCTCTGCCCACGTGGGGGTGGAAGGCGGGAGGGAGGGCACATGATCAGGCTCCCAGTCAGCTGGGAGAAGGGGGAGGGATCCCTCGGGCAGATTACCCCAGACAAATGGACCGAACCAAGAAGTGCAAAGGACCCTTTAGCTTAGCATTGAGGGAAGGGACACAGGGTCAGGCTATGCTGGCTGGATAGCCAGATAATGATGCCACTTTGTGCCAGCGAAGAAGCAGGCATCACACCAGACTGACACATTCAGCCAAATCTTACCACTCTAGCCAGGTGGAAGGTTCAGCAGGTGAGGTCTGAGAGGGTCCCACTGCAGAGATTGAGGCCTGATCTCACAGTGCTCCATACTCTCCTCTCAAGGCCCTTGCTGATCCAGGTCCCCTGCTCCTACGACCCTTCATCTCCCCTTGCAGACCTAGGGAGCAGAGCCTGACTCTTCACCGTCCACCTTTTGACCTTTCCTTTGCCCAGCTGCAGCCTAGCAGTCCAGCTGTCCAAGGGGCGGGAGAGTGTTCTGATCATCTCCACTGACCCAGCCCACAACATCTCCGATGCATTTGACCAGAAGTTCTCCAAGGTGCCTACCAAGGTCAAAGGCTATGACAACCTCTTTGCCATGGTGAGTGCAACAGAGCTCAGGCCCACGCCACGCCCCCCCCCCACCCCAACTCTGTCAAAGGCACCTCAGGCCTTTCCTGTGAACACCCACCATTAGCTACCATGTCCTGCCCATTCTCCAGCTTCTTGTCTTTCCACTTTCCCCTCTTCTTCAGCATACCCACAGGGGACTGGATGAGAAACGTTTGTGGATCAGAAAGGAAGCCAGAGTAATGATATTAGTGAGCAAGGGGAGGGGAGGGAGACATCAATAAGAGTCAGGTGGTATAGGACCTAGCAGGCCGCTGGGAGCATCTAAGCTTTGTTTCTAAGTTTATATATTTTTTTATGTTATATTTATTTTTATTATGTATTTGGTTGCTCTGGATCTTAGGGCCAGGTCTTAATTGCAGCACACAGAATCTTTAGTTGTAGCATGTGGGATCTAGTTTCCCAACCATGGATTGAACCCAGGTCCCCTGCATTGGGAGGGTGGAGTCTTAGGCACTAGACCCCTAGGGAAGTCCCTGATTCCAAGTTTAATGGGAAGCTGTTTGTTTTAAGCAGAGTAATCTCACAGCCAAATTGTTTTTCAAAAAAGTTCCCTGTAGCTTTCATGAAGAGATTGGGTTATAAAGTTAAGAAGGAAAGCAAAGAGAACTGGGACAGTGACCAGGCTAGAAATGGTGGCAGCCAAAACTTGGTGGGGAGGGAGGTGAGAAGTGGTAAAATTTGGGATTCATTTTCATTTGTTTGTTTGGCTCCAGTGGGTCTTCACTGTTGTACACAAGGGCTTCTGTTGCAGTATGTGGGCTTAGTTGCCCCGTGGCACTGGGATCTTAGCTCCCTGATGGGATTGCGTCTGCATCCCCTGCATTGGAAGGTGGATTCTTAACCACTGGACCACCAGGGAAATCCCGGGGATGTATTTTGGAATTAAAACAATTTGAGTGCTCGGTTATAATGCATGAGGAAAAGAAATGGATTCAGTTCATCTCTGAGTTGACTCCCTGGGCAACTGAGATGGAGAAGACTAGGAGAGAAGCAGGTGTAGAAGGCAAAAATGGGGAATTTTATTTGGCTTAGTGAGACCAAGGTGCCCACTGGTCATCCAAATGGAGACATCAGGACAGTGGCTTAGTTATATGAGCCTAGAGGAAGAGGTTGGCATTGATTTGAGAGTCATTGTCCCAAGGGTGATATTTATTTAAAGCTGTGTAAATGGAATAAAGAGTGAGAGAATAGAGAGGCCCAGAAACAACTCCGGGGGCCTATCAGCATTTGGGGTCCCGCAGAGAAAGAGGAAGCATCAGTTAAAGAGGACAAGGAGGAGCCCCAGGTGAGGTGGGAGGGAAGCAAGATAGCACGGGCTCCTGAACTTGAGGAGGACAAAGAGGCTTGGGCAGAAAGATGGTTGGCTCTGGCAGGCACATCCATTTTAAGCAGATCGCCCTGGGAATGGATGCAAAAGCCTGCCTGGAGTGGGTGAACCAAAGTGGAGACAGTGGTCACCATGATGGGAGCAGAGAAATGAGCGTAGCCATCCCTGGAGGGGAATGGGAATGAGAGTTAAGGAAGGCTTTTCTGAGAAAGGAGATGCTAAGAGCACATGTGTTTGCTGATGCAAATGCTTGAGAATTCTCTGGCAGTCCAGTGGTTAGAACTCTGGGCTCTCTCTTTACTGAGGACCAGGTTCAACCCCTGGTTTGGGAACTAAGGTCCCAGAAGCTGCTCGGTGTGACTAAAAAAAACAATGCTTCAACTGGGAGGGACAAATGATGCTACAGGAGGGAATAAGGATGCCAGCCAAGGAGGGATCTCAGGTGGGTGTCTGCTTGCTCCAGTGCATAGACCCAGGACTTGGGCTCTGCCAGGACCAGGGGCTTGGAAGGAAGGACTGGGGTATTTTCTAGGGTGAAATGAAGGTGTTGGCGGCCAGTGGCTTCAATTTCTCACTGAGGCACAAGCCCCAGCAGAGACTGAGGGCCACTTGGGAAAGAAGGTGTTTGAGGAGGGAGAAGATGTGGTATTAATACTCCCACTGGTGGATTGTCTGGCTCGTCAAATGCCCGTTGGAGATTTGCCATCAGCAGTGGGGAGCAAGGTGAAGCTGTTTGTCAGGCGTGTACCTCAGTGTAGCCTCGGTGTAGCCATGCCAGCATGCTGCAAATAATGAGAATGGGGCTTTTGCCAACTGAAGAGGGAAAAGGGAGTGTGTTTATGCAGAGGCATCCTCTGGAAACTGGGCTGGATAAGAGTGCCAGCCAAGAGGGACACTGACAGTGAAGAGGGGGGCAGAAGGTGGGGATGAGGTGGCCCAGAGAGATCTAAAATAACAGGAGTTGAGACAGCTGGGGTCAGAGAGTGGGCCAGTAGCTAGGAATAACCCATCAAGGGTGTGACGGGGGGGTGATGTGTGGACAAGCTTGCCACAGGGAAGTGACCTCTGAGGCCAGGGAGTGGAGGGATTCACCACAGAAACCGTGAAATCAAAAGGAAGAGGTAGGGGCTGCCCTGGTGGCTCAGTAGTAAAGAATCCACCTGCAATGCTGGAGACACGGGTTCAATCCCTGATGGAGGAAGATCCCACGTGCTGAAGAGCAACTAAGCCCATTTGCCACAACTATTGAACATGTGCTCTAGAGCCTGGGTGCTGCAACTACTGAAGCCTGAGAGCGCTAGAGCTTGTGCTCCACAAAAAGAGAAGCCACCGCAATGAGCAGCCTGCACATCACAATTAGAGAAAAGCCCTTGCAGCAAAGAAAAACTCAGCATTGCCAAAAATAAATATTTTTTTTAAAAAAGAGAAGAAGAAGAGGTAACACAGGCAGAAGATAGAGAGGCATTGAGTGCAGGACAGGCTAGGGACCCCAGGCTTGGTCATCCTTTCATGAATGCTACATCCAAATTGAGGACCTACTCTGTGCCACACACTTCACAGGTGTTAGGGACACCACAGTGAACAAGACAGTCAAAACCCCTACCCTCATGGGGCCGGCACTCTGGTGTGGAGACAGGTGATAAACATGATAAGTAAACACCATGTGCGTGTGTGCTTAGTCGCTAAGTTGTGTCCGAATCCTTTGTGACCCCATGGCCTGTAGCACGCCAGGCTCCTCTCCCCATGGGATTTCCCAGGCAAGAATACTGGAGTGGGTTGCCATTTCCTTCTCCAGGAGATCTTCAAGAGGCCAGATGTTAAGGAGAAAGGAAAAGAGGGCAACGGGGGCTAGGGCTGCACTGTTAGCTTGGGCAGTCAAAGAAGACTCATGTTACAGGACTGATCTGGAAGAGGTCCTGGGCTGGGTGGGGGAAAAGCTAGTGAAAAGTCCCTGCAGGGACTTCCCCAGCGGTCCAGTGGTTAAGACTCCATGCTTCCACTGCAGGGGATACGGGTTCGATCCCTGTTCAGGGAACTCAGATCCCACACATTGCATGATGTGGCCTGATAAAAAGAAAAGGCCTTGCAATAGGCTCTGGCTTCCATCTGGGCGCTGAGCACAGTTGACGATCTTCCATCTGCTTGTTTGACAATCTGTGGTTGCCGGGTACCCGAAGCGCCTAAGGGAGGGGCCGTGGCACCTCAGGGGTCTCTTCAGCTGTGACCTGATGATGGGCTGTGCTCAGGCACCCCACAGGCTCCCTCAGGCTCTGTGCCTCGGTGCCAAGGCCCCAGACACAGCCGCCTGAATCTTGACCCCCTCGGCCCGAAGGAGATTGACCCCAGCCTGGGCGTGGCGGAGCTGCCGGATGAATTCTTTGAAGAGGATAACATGCTGAGCATGGGCAAGAAGATGATGCAAGAAGCTATGAGCGCATTCCCAGGCATCGACGAGGCCATGAGCTACGCAGAGGTGATGAGGTCAGGCACGGCCAGGGGTACTGGGTGCTGCCTGGGGCTGGGGGTGGAAGAAGGGGCGGAGCGGGCCTGACCCTCTTCTCCCTGCAGGCTGGTGAAGGGCATGAACTTCTCCGTGGTGGTGTTCGACACGGCGCCCACAGGCCACACGCTGAGGCTGCTCAACTTCCCCACCATCGTCGAGCGGGGGCTTGGTCGCCTCATGCAGATCAAGAACCAGATCAGCCCCTTCATCTCACAGGCAGGCAGGGCCCCCGGGCAGCCAGGAGTCCTCTGAGTCAGAGCAGGGCTCCCAGTCGCACCGTAACAAAGGCACCACGTGCCTTCTCAGTCAGCGCTTCCCAATGGGCGGATTGGGTCTTCACTGTGGAGGAACTGTCCACCCTCCTCCACAGCACTTGGTGTCCCTGCCTCCACCTCTTGAGTGCCCCAGACAGAGCTTGAAACCACATGCAGTAAGTCCACGACATATGAATGAGTTCCGTTCCAAGATCAAGTTTGTAAGTCCAGTTTGTCCATAAGTTCAACAGAGTTAACCTTGGTACCCAAATAACACAATTGTCTATGTAGTTCTATACTGTACTGTTGTTGTTTAGTTGCTCAGTTGCTTCTGACTCTTTGTGACCCCATGAACTGTAGCCTACCAGGCTCCTCTGTCCATGGGATTTCCCAGGCAAGAATTTGGGAGTTGGTTGTCATTTCCTTCACCAGGGGATCTTCCCGACCCAGGGATCAAACCTGAGTCTCCTGTATTGGCAGGCGGGTTCTTTACAGCTGAGCCCCCAGGGAAGCCCATACCATACTGTAATGGGTTTATAATACTTCTTAAACAAATAATACATAAAAAACACAAAAAATTAAATATTTTTAAGCTTACAGGCCAGTACCTTAAAAAGTATAGTAGTGCAGTACAACAGTTGGCATACAGAACAGACAAGAGGAGTTACTGACTGGAGGAGAGAGAGGAGGTGGGAGGTGGTAGAGCAGAAGGATCGTCAGCGATAGGAGACAGAGGGCAAGCTGCAGTTTCAGTCGCGCCTGACATTAATGGCACAGGTTCTGGTTTCTGGCTGAAACCAGATGTATGTTTGTGTCTTTGAAAGTTCACAACTCGAAGGTTCCTATGTAGGGAACTGTATCCAGAGCCAGGTGGCCCAGGTTCAAATGCACCGCACTCTGGTGTGATACTGCTCTGTGACCTCAAGTCACTTCCCCTCTCTGGGCCATGTCTGTCAAATGGAGAGCATGCGAGTCCCCCCGCCACGGGTTATTATTAGCATGACAGGACAACCCTAATGGCCGCACGCTTCTGCACGCCACTGCCACCTCCCTGGTTATGGTGGTCCCCTGGTGGGGACTTGAATCTCAGGTAGTAACTTTTTTGTCCTATTGGTGGTTGCTCTGAGTCTCTGTTTCTGCAAGGGCTTTTCTCTAGTTACAGCAAGTGGAGATTACTCGCTAGTTGCGGTGCCTGGGCTTCTCACTGCAGTGGCTTCTCTTGTTTCAGAGCACAGTCTCCGGGTGCAGGGGCTTCAGTAGTTGCGGCACACGGGCTTAGTTGCTCCTCAGCCTGTGGGATCTTCCGGGATCAGGGATCAAACCCATGTCTCCCACTTTGGCAGGTGGATTCTTAACCACTGAACCATCAGGGAAGCCCCCCTCAGGTAGTAAAATTTGTGGAGCATTTCCTGTGTGCCAGGCACCCTTCTGAGTGTGTGACAGTGTGTTGTGTAGGACAGCAGCTCTACACATGTGGAAACTGAGGCACTAACCTGGCCATGGTCCCACAAAAATGGCAGAGCTGGAGTTGGACCCCTGTGATCTGCTCAAGGGCCTGCATCTTAAACCACTAGAAGGTGTTGGGATTCGTTTCCTCCCATCTCCCCCCTACCCGCCCTGCCCTCCGCAAGACCCATGGAGTGTAATGGGTCCCAGGTAAACCGTGAGCCCTCTCCCATCCCCATAGATGTGCAACATGCTGGGCCTCGGCGACATGAACGCAGACCAGCTGGCCTCCAAGCTGGAGGAGACGCTGCCTGTCATCCGTTCCGTCAGCGAGCAGTTCAAGGACCCTGTGAGTTCAGGTCCAGTGGGCGGTGAGAGGCTTCAGGAACCACAGGGACAGGGCTGAGACCTGCCCTTCCCTGTCCTCTCTTGCCTCCCGCAGGAGCAAACAACCTTCATCTGTGTATGCATCGCGGAGTTCCTGTCCCTGTATGAAACCGAACGGCTGATCCAGGAGCTGGCCAAGTGCAAGATTGACACACACAACATCATCGTCAACCAGCTCGTCTTCCCTGACCCTGAGAAGCCCTGCAAGATGTGTGAGGCCCGCCACAAGATCCAAGCCAAGTACCTGGACCAGGTGTGCACGCCCTCCCTCCTGCCCAGTCCTCACACTTTGAGCCCAGAAGCTACGGTCTGGCCCAGCCCAGCTGACCTTTTACTGTGTCCTCTGATCTTTTGCTTCATCCCACTCTCTATTCATCTGCCTAGTCCCCTGCCCTTCACCTCCTGCTTCAGGCCTGATTCTGGCCTTTGTAGACTAGCTGGCCTGGGTATCTCTGATCCTGGGGAGTGGGAGGTCCAGGCACATGGTCTCTGACCTCACTGGCACCACTCCCACCCATGACCCTGTGAAGTCCTTGCTCATATTCTCTCCCTGACCCTGAGACCCCCCCCAGCCCTGACTGTTTACACTGACCACATCCTGTCCCTGCCCCGGGGCCCCCTGACTGCTGCCTTCTGCCCCCGCCACAGATGGAGGACCTATATGAAGACTTCCACATTGTGAAGCTGCCGCTGCTGCCCCATGAGGTTCGGGGAGCAGACAAAGTCAATACCTTCTCTGCTCTCCTCCTGGAGCCCTACAAGCCCCCCAGCGCGCAGTAGCACCTCCACCAGCCCCAGCTGCCATTTCACACCCACCCGCCACCCTCCGGGGCAGAGTTTGCACAAAGTTCCCCCCCTAATACAGGGGAACCACTTGGGGGATGGGAGGCGGGGAGGGGGTCTTTTCCCCCTGGTGGGGCTGGGGGAGCTATAGCTGCCCCCCACCTCTCCCCACCTCTCCTCCCTCAATAAAATGATCTTAAACTTCTGTGGATATTGATATGATGTGGGAGTTGGGGCTTAGTATCTTCATATATGGTTGCACAGGTTGTACACTGCACAAAGATGTCACATCCAGAGAGGCATTGTCACAACAGAGATCTAATAGAGATGCATGTTTATTGTGGCAATTTTGGAAAGAGGGTTCTTTGGTAAAGGGGTGCTGTTTTCTTGGTCTTTGTGGGTCAGGGTGTCCTTTGGGGCTGTAAAGCCTGGAGTAGAAGAAGGAGCATCTGCCCACATCCTTCAGGGCTCAGAGCGTGGGAACCAAGAGGCCCCTTGGCCAGCCCCAGGCTGGCGGGGAGCGGATTAGGCCGGCAGCAGGCCCAGCACTGCCTGCTGTTTGGTTTGGGAATTAGTGGGCGCCCTGGGCAGAGGCTGGGCTTGCCAGACTGGGGATTAACAGTCTCCACCCACCTACCCCCCCCCCAACCAATTTCCTGTTCTGTGGAATGGCATGGCATCAGCCTGTCCCAGCACAGGACTGCAACAGGGTGGCAGTTTAGGGGACAAGATGACAATAAACTCAGAGGCTCAAAGGGCCCTGAAGTCCCATCCTGCCCCCGGAGCAGTCTTAGTGGCCTGTAGCATGTTTCCTGCAGTTTGAGCACCAGTCCCCTATTCTAAAATGGAGACAGAAGTGTGGCCATTCATAGGGCCGTGGCACAAATTCACCTGACCTTGGAAGGGTCAGCACACCAGCCTGAAAGACACCGAGCAGCCCGCCTTCTCCCCTTCACACTTCCGTCTGCCGCTCCCTGGACAGTCACTGTCACACCCTACTTGAGAGACCCAGGACTGGCATGATCTTGGGCATTTGCAAGTTCCAAGCTGGAGCTAAATGTGGGTGGGGGGAGAAAGGGGGTGCTTGAGGACACACATGAGTCAGGAAGTAGTGTTTAGACAGCGCACATCCAGGATCTAGGTGTGCCAGGGTGTGCATATGTAAGGGGACCCAGCCACGAGCCTAGACGTGTCCCCTCCAACTCCGTCGGGTTGCACAAGCCAGTATAGGCAGGTCCATGTCAGGGAAGTGTTTGTAACCTAACCAAACTGCTCGGGATTCAAATCCCAGGTGTGTCATGAAAGGGCTATGTGTCATCTGGGCCTCAATTTAGCGGGAATAATAGCGGGAATAACAAAGGCACCAAGTTCACTTTTCCTGCTTGTAAAGACACAATGAGATGAAATAGGTAATGCCTTTACAACAGCCCCAGGCATGTACCTGCCAAGGAGTGTTTGTTAATATTCGTTGTTACAATTAGTAAGCATGTGAACTAGCCTGGGCAACCTGCCTCCGCCCCAGCAGGGGTCCAGCAGTCAAAAGTTTGTGGGGATACTGGGAGCTGGAGGATGGGAGATGAGCATGGGGGTGGGGGATTGGGGGGAGGGCTGGCTGTGTGAGAATACATCCAAGAAAACAGGGGCCTCAGGCTGGGTATGAAGTGAAGTGAAAGTCGCTCAGTCGTGTCCAACTCTGCGATCCCACGGGCTATACAGCCCATGGAATTCTCTAGGCCAGAATCCTGGAGTGGATAGCCTTTCCCTTCTTCAGGGGATCCTCCCAACCCAGAGATCAAACCCAGGTCTCCTGCATTGCAGGTGGATTCTTTACCAGTTGAGCTACAAGGGAAGCCAGGTTGAGTATGGAGCCCATCAACCTGAAGCCTGTCCCCTCCCCAGTTGCCTTAGCTAGCAGCATCACCCATCACCCTCTTTTATGAGCTGTCCAGCAGCTGGACAGCGGAGGCATGGGTCCGAGGACAGACAGTCCGGGCTGGTTCCTAATTACCCCGGGTGGGGCAGACACCTGCTGGGTTAGGAACACAGAGTCCTGGCTGGCCAGACCTCAGGGTGGGGTTGAGTGGAGCCATATGCACTTCTGGAGCTAGGGTGGACTGGAAAGCCTGAGGGGCACTCCAGGACGCCCCTCTTGGGGCTGGAGCCCTGAGCCTCTGCCCCTCTCACACTAGACTATGCATTCAAAGTTGAGGATAGATGGCTGTCTGTGCCAGGTTAGACTGCCCCCTGCGTAGGTGTGTCTCTGAAGGGAGGACATGTGTCCTGTATCCGTGCCAAGTGTGGGGACAAAGTTTTGTGTCCCTAAGCTTGTGTGCTCATGACAATGACGAAAGTGACTGCAACCCAGGGTGTGTGTGTGCGCCTGCCCGCCACCACCCAAAGTGAAGGGGTGTTGAGGAGGGTGTGTCTTATGGATTGATGTACAAATAAATGCAGGTGAATTTCATGAGGGATGATAGCCTGACTCCTGGATGTGACCCTCTGGGTCTGTGGGACTGTTGGGAGGGGTCAGTGTTACACAAATGTGTCTTTGCAACATGGGCAAATCTAAGGGACCACCAGACCTGGATCTGACCCCAGGACTGCGGGCTGCTGTGTTGAGGGCAGGTACTCCTGCATCTGACGTGTGGTCAGTTCAGTTCAGTCCCTCAGTCGTATCTGACTCTTTACGACCCTATGGACTGCAACACGCCAGAATTCCCTGTCCACCACCAACTCCCAGAGCATGCTCAAACTCATGTGTGGTCACAGGTGTGTTTTTGTATGGGAGAGATCAGGAATAAATGTAGGCTACCTCCCTCCGTGTGATGGTCGCCTGTGTGATGGTGTTCTGGGCTTGGGCTGTGGTCTGCACTTGGCTGGTTGTGTGACCTTGTGTGTGTCTTCACTACCTAGTACAATTATGACGGAATTCAGTGCTTGGGTCCCTGCCGTTGTGTTACTGAGTGGCTGTTTGGAGCACTGTGTGGGTGCCTGAGAGCTGAGAACCCACCTGAGAACAAACCTGGTGGGTTTGGGTTAGGGTCCGTTGGCTTTATATCTGCATGTTAGTGGGGGGCGGGGTACAGCTGTCTCTCGTGTGACTCTGGAAACCTTTGTGAGAGTGTGTGACTTCTTTCTGGGTCACGGTGATTGTGGGAGGCTGTGTTGAGGAAAGCTGAATTTACGTCTGGATCTATGGTATGTTTCCACGTGCATCTTTATGGTTGATTACAGGTGAGTTTCGGGTGACCCAGCCTCATGGAGCAGTGTGTGTACAACTGGGTTGGGTAAAGACAGGGTTCCTGCCCCCTCCCCCAGCTCTAGGGCTAAAGTTTCTGGGACCTGCCAGTGACTGACTGGGAGAAGGGACAGGGAGGAGCTAGGGAGGTCAGGGTGAATTCTCCACCCCCCGCCCCAGGTAACAAACTGAGGAGACTTCAAAGTTCTCAGGCTGCAACTGTGCAACTGACGGGGGGAGGGCCAGGGAAGGGCCACCCACGTCCACTCCCCAGCCCCCTCCCTCACAGAATCTGGCTTAAGCCCCACCCAACACTGAAGCCACCCGCCCAGCCCATCCTGTCCTTGTCCCAAGTGTCCCTGAACCAGCCATCAAGTGAGAAGGACCCAGGCCTGGGGGAGCTGGGAACCCTGAGGACAAGTTGGTCTGCGAGGGAGAATCCGTCTGAATCCTCAGGGTAGGGTGTGGAGGGCGAGCAGGGAATGGACAGAGGAAATGTCCAGGTGGATCCAGGGCCAGGGGGAGGGGGCAGAGCCAGGGTGATTGAGTAGGAGGGGGATAGACTGGGGCTGCCGCGCAGCAGAGGGAGCCAGTCTGAGGCCAGGGGAACTGTGGGAAGGGACCTGAGGGCCAGGAGGCTTGGGGGCCAGGCCTTGGAGGACTTCAAAAGAAAGCGCAGGGCGGAGAATGGGCCCAGATTGGATTAGGGGTGGAGGAGAGGAAAGGTCGAAGTGGAACTCGAGGAAAGAGAATTGGGGACGAAACTCAGTTGGAGCCCTGGGAACTTAGAAACTAAAGGGTTCGGGACTCAGGGAGCAGAGGAAAGTGTAGATGGCGTCCAGGTAAGGAGTATGGGATCTGAGAGGGCTAAAACGTAAGGGTCTTGAAGGTGGGGGACAGACGGAGAGGGCCAGGGAAGGTCTGCACAAGACGCTGGGTCCGGGAGTCCAAGGAAGGGAGTGACCTGGAAGAGGGGGCTTTGGAAAGGAGGGCTGGGGGCTAAGGTAGGGCAGAGCAGGTTGGGGGAGACGGGGACCCGAGCAAGAGCCGGAACCCAGGAGCTAGTAAGGTGGTCGGGCGCGGAATAGGGCGCAGAGTTGAGCCGGGCCCGCACCTCTCCACCCCCGCCGTAGCCTCCAGCCCGGCCCCGTCCCGGCCCCCCATTCCTCGGCCCCCAAGCCTAGGTCCGATCCAGCGCCCCCACTCCTTTGGCTCGACCGGCCCGGGCGCCGCGATGACCGTCACGTACACGGCACGCGTGGCGAACGCGCGCTTCGGCGGCTTCTCGAAGCTGCTGCTGCTGTGGCGCGGGAGCATCTACAAGCTCCTGTGGCGCGAGCTGCTGTGTTTCCTCGGACTCTACATGGCGCTGAGTGCCGCCTATCGGTGAGGCGGCCTGGGGGTGGGTGCGGTGGGGAGGGGATGGGGAGTGCCGTGCCTGAGGGAGGCCTGCGGAGGGGCTGCAGGGCGGCCCCGGAGTGGGTGCGGGAAGAGAGACCGGCTGCTGGGGACGGGGGCTCGCCGGTGACCCCGTGCCCTCCTCCCTCGCAGCTTCGTGCTGACCGAAGAGCAGAAACGCTATTTCGAGAAGCTCGTCCTCTACTGCGACCAGTATGCCAGTCTCATCCCGGTCTCCTTCGTGCTGGGTGGGTTTGCGCTCCGGAGTTGCCCATTCTCTTCATCCCAAGAAACCCATAGCCATTCCTGCTTTCCTCAAAGCCATCCCCGCACATCCCCATTTCTGCATCCTTTACGCCAGGTATGGCATCGATTCCCAGGACCTTGGAGGTCACCTGGTCAGTGTATCCCCTGAGGTTCCCCCATGAGAGAGCTCCGTGTCATCCACAGGTTTATCCCTGGTCACCTCAGGGACTCCCATCTGTGTTTGCATGGGCTTACCAGTGCCTCCCCTCACATGTTCTGGTCCCCAGTGTGTGTTAGTCACTCAGTCATGTCCAACACTTTCA